AATGGCAATTTGCTGTCGAAGACAGCTTCCAAACTGATTGATCGCTGGCCCGACGATGGGTGTTAAAAAAACTCGTCGAATCCACGTCTGATGCACATGGTATTTGCAAGGATTTGTCAAAATTCAATAGATTTTGAAGCCACTTTTTTCCACCAAAATGGAGTTATCAAAAGAGTTCGGAACAGCATTTTACATTGAAAATTACAGGTGATTCTGACGGTCCTATTCAGCAAACCCTCAAAACGCTCGCGCGGTTTCGCATCCGCCGGGATGTATATTATATGGGTCCAAATTATATTCCCATCATGCTCAACACACCTGACCCATTTGAGGACCTTTTTTTTATATTTGTGGTAATAGTAAAAATACGATTAATTTATTTTCGCGAACCCCACCAAATGCGCATTTCAAAACATCATCTACAAACGGATCATTTTTCCATTGCCATGTTCGCCAGAAGCTAGCCCTGTGGAGTGTCCACACCCCATCCGCGTCAAACCCCAGGACGCCCCCAAGCCTACGACCCCCCAAAACTCTGCACGACCCTCCGTGGTTGATGCGCCTGCCGTGGCGGCAGTGACCGGCAACGCGGCGCCCCGACAGAAATTGGGGCCGTACAAATTGGGGGTTGACCCACAACAATGGGGATTCAACCGGCAAAACTTCGATTTTCACCAGCAAAGAAACATACATGAGGATGTAACAACATTTAGGATTTAAACATGGTAAAAACTGGGAATTAAAATAGAAATGAGGACCCAGGGACGGAGATGGGTTTTGTAATTTTGGGATATTTTGAAACTACTGCAAGGTGGTTGAACTTGGACATTTTGATCCAGATGTCAGACTAACACAGACTAGTGACTAGTGTAAAGTTGAGTCCCAAAATACGTTTTGAAAGAAAAATCACAGCCGAGATTTCGCTGACCAATCCATGGTTTCCGGTGTTCTTGGACCATCATGGGAATCCCATTCCCAGGTTTCTTTCATACTTTTGCGCTTTCTTGTGGGGTTCCCGTGGGTCCAGGTACCGTTTGCAAATTTGACATCCTGACATGGAAAACAACAGATTTGAATAGATTTGAAGGAGTCAACTATAGGGGGACCATGTCATAGCTGTTTTAAGTTGCAGGGTATGCAGCACCGTATCAGGTGAAGTGGCAGCAAGAAGATTTTGATGACTTCGGCCTCGCCGGCATGTGATGCGAAGGTTGCGAAGATTGTAGCAGCCTCAGTTCGGACCCTAAATTGCGATAGGCTGGACCCACAGGACAAACATGTACACAGATATTATATATATGATATTATATGATATTATATGATATTATCTGACATTATATGATATTATATGATATTATATGATATTATATGATATTATATGAATTTATATGATATTATATGGCATTATATGATATTATATGATATTATATGATATTGTATGGCATTATATGGCATTATATGATATTATATGACATTATATGATATTATATGATATTATATGACATTATATGATATTATATGATATTATATGGTATTATATGATATTATATGGTATTATATGATATTATATGATATTATATGATATTATATGATATTATATGATATTATATGATATTATATGATATTATATGATATTATATGATATTATATGATATTATATGATATTATATGATATTATATGATATTACATGATATTACATGATATTATATGATATTATATGATATTATATGATATTATATGATATTATATGATATTATATGATATTATATGATATTATATGATATTATATGATATTATATGATATTATATGATATTATATGATATTATATATATACATATAATATATCTTTTTGTGGCTATATCTAGACATTTGTATCTCCAAATCTAAGTATATCAATACTTTGCATCTGCATCCAAATCTATATAATTTGTATCGGCTACACTCATGGCAGTCATCAGCGAGGTCGGGTCGTTTCACCTGGCCCTGGGCGTGAGATCGTGCGCTTTTCGGGTAGCACCAAGCCATGCCGACATCAATGATGCTCGGAGTCTCTGGAATTCTGCACTCTGCGAACCCCAGGGGACTTGATTGGTAGGAACCACCCGCAAAATTGGCAGCCGTTTATCGCGAAAATAACAGCCCGAGGAAACCGCAAGCTGGTACGTCTTCGGATGTCTTTGGTATGAGGGTGCATCCCCATCAGCAAGGGAAAAATAAACCGCAAGAATCAGACTCTGATGGTGTGACGCGTGAAACTGGCTGTGGACTGTCCATTCTGTGCCGTCTATGGCCCGAAGGATTTGGCATGCAGATTTGCAATGGAAACAACTTGCAACTGCTTCCCGTGATCACATGTCATTCATGGATGAGATAAGCTCAGTCACCACAGGCCAGCCATTTACTGTAATCACAACCACCTGAAACCTCCAAAACATGGGAAACCTGAGAAACTTGAGAAACCTGACAAACATGACATGACAGTGAAGAAACCAAATAGACTTAGCGGCTCTCAAACCCCAACAAAAAGGAGCCATGCCTGCGAGGGCTGCAGGCTCAGGCAGCCCCCCCGCGACTGCAACTTGGCTTAGAAAGGGACCCTAGGGAACACGTGGATGGCAACTAATTATATAGATGGAGAAACACGTGGGAGGCCCCCCTTGGAACTTGTCATTCTTTATCCTTGCGAACTTTTCTTTGGAAATCTTTTGATTTTCACGACAGTCCCTTTTGAGCTGACCAACATGACTGGAGGGTGGGTTGAACCCAAGCAGAAGCCAGTTATGAAATTATATGAAATTCAAGATCCCTGGACTGGACCTTCAGAGTTGGTATATGGAACACGACAACTGCAGATTTGTGATGATTTGTGCTTCATGATTGCACCCAACTTTTATCAGACTTTCACTTGACTTCAGGCCATTCCAACATGTATGCCATGTATGCCATGTATGCCATGTATGCCATGTAGCGGCCACCAGCCCAGGTCACACTGCTCCCTGAAAATTTCCGCAACTGCGAGAAGGGGCAGCTCTGGCTCAACAGTGGCCTGGCTGGCAGATGGCCACCCTCAGTTTGGGTCGATGGTTCAAGACATCCCATTTTTATAATATATCTATATCTATATCTATATCTAAATCTATATCTATATCTATATCTAAATCTATATCTATAGCATTCTATAGCTATAGCTATAGCTATAGCTATCTATCTATCTATCTACCTATCTATCTATCTACCTATCTATATATATATATATATATCAATATTATATCTATCTATATATATATAAATATCATACGTACACACACATATATATATATATATACACGTCATATGTCCCATTTTAAACCCATTATTGTCCCAGAGAAGCCCCTTACACATTACCATAGAGGACAGGTGAGGTGCTGATAGAAGCGAGTAACTCTACGTTTGGCACAGCAATCATCTTCTGTGACCCATGCGCAAAGTCGTGGATGAAGTTGTTGACTCATGGAGGCTGCAACCTGACTTCGCATGCGAGTCACACAAGGTGGTACGCCATAGCTAAGTTGGTTCATACTTCGTAAGACTAGGGTCTAGATTTCTAGATATATGATATATCAAACTAGTTGATGGGGTTTATAAAACATTATAAACCAACTTATATCTATAGGCTGAGTAGTGTATTTCCGATGGCTATTTGCTGGGCACGTCCCGTTTTCAGGCAAACCCAACGTATGCCATTCCCCTCCAGTAATCAAACATGATCAAACATGGCCCTCAAGGCCAACTTCATGATTTATAGATGATTTTCACATAGAAAAATCTTCATTTTGTTCGGGGATTTTCCAGCTAGCCACATTTGATTACCAGACGGATCCAGAGGGTATATTCATTCATATCCCATTCTTATCCCACTAATATCTCAATAATGCTCCATTATTATCCCATCCATATCCCATGAATATCCATTAATATTAGATTAATATGCACATTTTCAATTTTTATCCCATTAACAACATATGTAACATATTTATATCCCAGTCCTCTGCTGAATTCGCCTGTTTTGAGGCAACGAGTTGGAAGCTGTGAGGCAAGCCTTAGCGGCGCAGAGCAGCAGATTGTCGCTGCAATGGGCCGTGGAACCTGTGTGGACGCTGGGTGCAATCTATGGTCAGGTGAGGTGTCGTTTTTTCTTTTTTTTTTTTAATGCTCTATCTACATACTGTAATGTGTATATTGTTGTAGATCTGGATCTCGAAAAAATATGTCTATGTATTTATGTATGTATGTAAGGTAACGTAATGGAACGTAATGTAATGTAATGTAGTGGAATGTAGTGCAATGTAATGTAATGTAGTGTAATGTAATGTAGGGTAATGTATGCAGTTGGCTGGCGGCGGAAGACAGATGACAATGATTGCATGATTTTCGGCTCCACGCTCCACGCGCTCAGGGTCTCTAAAGCCGAGTTCCTCAGGAGGAAGAACATGAAGATGGCGGACCCTTCCGACGAGGAGCAGCGCTGATTGGGCTTCAGGGTCCGAAGTGAAACGTTCAACAGCAAGGGGCCAGGGGGTGAAGGAAGGAAGAAGATCAGCTGTCCGACTTGGATCATCCCAACGATTATGAGGCCCACAGTCTAAGGCTCATTTAACTGCCCCAGGGAAGCCGAAGAACGATCTAAGAAGGGTTCAACATTTACATGGGGCACTTGGAACTGCAGAGTCCCTCTTTGGGAGTGCAATATTCTCATTATTGAACATTACTTCAACATTACTTCAAGTGTGCTTGGTATTTTTATGATGTTGTATCATGTTCTATCATGCTTTATCTTGTTTTCACGTGTTTCTAAAATCTAGAATTTGAGGAGTGTGAACTCCACATTTTTGGCCCGTCATTCTCCAGGAGGAGGAAAAGGATGCCACGAATGGTGAGGGGTCGGCCAGCCCTATCTCAGCACTGTCGGGATCGATGCTGTCTCACGGTCACGATCTGTCTCACTTGCGCAAGGACCGGCGAGGAGGCTGCAGAAATGGGATTGAAGACAGTTGAACCAATATATACCAGGTGAGGCTCCCGAACGATAGCTAAGTTGACCTATAACTTGGATTAGGGGGATAGAACTATGGTATTCATGGGGTTTGTAACCCAACTTCGAAATGGAAGAGCCTCACCTTGTAGGAGATAATGGGATACAGTAATTCGGATATTTAATTATGAATATACCCAATAACTGAAGTTTTCATATTAGCACCCCGCCAAGGAAAACCCAAGACTATATAGTGGGAGCCATTGTTTTTCGATTTGTTCGGGGTTGCTATGAGATATAGTAATGTGTAATGGTGTCAAACTGTATTACAAAAAAAGATTGGGAGAGAACCTAACTAATATGCTTGACATGTGGAGATGCGGGCAGCTTCCTATTTTGGCAGCCAGTCTTGGGAAGATTTTCTTAGTAGCGGAATGGGCTCAATACAGGTCACTGCAATAGTGACAAGCTAAATCATCAGCTGAATCTCTTGGGTTTGTCAAAAAATGTAAGATATGTAAAAAAAAACCTGCAATATATTGCAATGAAGAACATGACGTTTTGAAGCTCAGGATGGAGTAGGGTGCCCTATTTTTGGATACACACCCACATCGGATTGAAGCGGGTCCAGAAAATGGGGGATTATAGTGATGATCAGTTCTTCGTATGAACCCATCCATTTTGGGGCTCCCGTGTTCTTTAGGGACCAAAAAAGGTGCGTTCCCCAACAGGGGCCGGTCACTGGCAGTACAAGGATCTGCCCCTGAAAGACCGACGGGCTTTGGAGAAGCGAAAAGACCGGAAGGACCGGAAGGACCGGAAGGACCGGAAGGAGCTGGAAGGAGCTGGAAGGAAAAAGGGCGAAGTTATGGCTGTGTGATCTGAATAAGTGTTGGGTAAACAAAGCTGAACATGAAATTAGTTGTTGGCTAGGACATGAATGGCTAGGCGACAAATCTTCGGCGCAGAAGAGACCTGTGAGCTGAATGCCTGGCAAGTGAATGCTGTGAGAAACCCGGTCCTTTTGGCTGTGGCACCAATTGTTGACAAAAGTTCTGGCAGGGCAAATCTTTTGGTTTGGTAGGTTCGCGAATGCATTTTTGGCCACAAATGCAAATATCGTTCGGACATGTTCGGATACTTTTCCCTTTTCCTTTTTGCAGGGTATCTCAGCTTAGCCTTTCTGGGGGGAAGATTGATATACCGTACTGGTCGTACTGGATTTGACCCTTCACACGCAATCCGCAACTGCAACCTCTGCGCCAAACATGAGACGCGGCGAGGATCCGCCTGCCAAAGGACGCTGTGGTTTGTTGGGTTTCAGGGAGCAATCCTGGAGCAACCTGGTCACCCGAAATGATGGGAACCCTGGAGTTTCAATTTCCGAAAGTCAGCGCTGTTGGTGACTCCAATAGATTCCAGGCATCTCTTGGCTTTCGAGTCCCCAACATCACAGGCATGCGATACTGCCATAGCCAGGGGCTTGGGTCGTTTCTTGGGCCCACGCAGGAGGGAGGTCCAACAAGCCGCCTTTGAAGCCTCCAAAAAGAATCAAGAAGCCAAGTAAGCCAAGCAAGTCAGAGAGTGACGGCAACGCCAGTGATGACGATGAGGATGATGAGCATCAAGATGAGGATGAGGATAGGACGCCTGGGACGCCTGGGACGCCTGGGACGCCTGGGACGCCTGGGACGCCTGGGACCAGGGGTCCCATGAAACCGAAACCGTCCACAGATTCCAAGGCCACGCCGCAGGACACACCCAGTGTCTTTAAGGAGGGCTCAAAGGAGGATCTCAAGGCGACATATTGGCAAAAGAAGGCCCAACATGCCAAGCCTGAGAAGTTCCAGAAGGACTCGGACAAGGAGCCTGATGACAAGGCTCTTGAAAGCAAGTCCGCAAAGGGCGAAAAAAGACCCAATGAGGACAAGGACGACTTGTTGCAGGAAATGGCGATGCGGGGCAAGAAGAGCAAGACGGCACCAGGGGTAGGGATTCTAGGGCTGGCAGGTAGCCTAGCTACTGAGTATCATGGGGACATGTGATTCGAAACACAATAGATGCGGAAGGGACTCAGTTCAGGCTGGTGCTCTGCCGTGACTATGATGCCAGCAGTTGAGTCTCAAATTTCAGTGACCGTAAATGTCATCGATTCATCAGATTCATCCAATCCTTTCGCCAGAAGAGATCTTGGAAGTGGACGCTTCGATTACTAAGCGATTTTGATGTGTTGAAGCTGCCTTGAACGGTCTTGCGTGGGCCAGGGAAGCAAAGATGACGCAAGCGATGAAGAAATTGACGCAGCAAAGGCTCAACAGCAAGTTGAATACTTGGACTCTTGCTTTCTAAGCGGCTGAGCGTGTTCGGATGTGGATCAATGATGATCAATGATGACCAATGACTAACCATGCTTCAAGATAGCATGTATATATTCTTACACATCTATGTGTGACAATGCTTTTAGCCTACACCCACACACACACAGGCCGTATTTTTTTTTGGAAGTGGCCACACCAATCTCTGTGACTGTCTGTGACCACCTGCTTGGAGAAAGGTTCCAGGGGGGGAAAGCTATGACCCTGGCCAACTCCTATTCTTCAAACGGTCAGAGATTCATAGTTCTTGATGTTTGAAAGGCCAAATGTTCAGATATTCACATTTTTTTGGCCTTTGAAAGGTGCCTACTCAAAGGAAGTTTCGTAGAGAAACTCCGAGTTACGGATGAAGTGAAGTAGCAGTTGCCAAGAAGTCTTATAATAAGTCCAGTTGGCTGGTCCTGGAGCCGAGAATTAGCTCAAAAGTCTTAAGTCCAGTGGGATGAGTAGAGTGGAGTAGAGTAGAGTAGAGCTATTCTTAAAATTATTAAAAGATAGGCGAGTGAAACTTGCTGGACATATTTTATGCTCGAACAACAGTGATCCCCTGAAAAGAGTTAGTTATAAACGTACTTCAGCGGTTAACTACAATGTTGGAAAAAAGCAAACGAGTGGGGGGTCCCAGGCAACGGTGGCTATTGTATAGTAGAAATGCTTGGAAAAAAATGAAAGAGGAACGTTCGAAAATATTGTGAAACAAAATCACAAATTGTTGGAACTTGCAAGAAGCCGTCAGTTTTGAGTATCGCCGTCGCATGCCCATGGTTTCACCCATGTGCCACAATCTGGCGCGGAGCCATGGCAGTCCAAAAAACATATTCAGAATAAAGTAGAGTAAAATAGAGTAGAGTCGAGGAAAGAGGAGAGTAGAATAAAGTGAAATAGAGTAGAGTAGAGTAGTGTGAAGCAGAGTTGAGGTAGAGTTCAGTTAGGATTGAGGTAGACACGTAGAGGAGAGAAGAGGTGAGAAGAGGTTGAGAAGAGGTTTAGCAGAGGTAGAGGTCCGTTGGTAGATGGCAGTGGAACTGCTGCATCCAGGATCAAATAAACGTACGTCAGTGATTAGGCCCGCTTGCGCGATGGGGTCGGCCGTCGTTGGACTAGCGCCGAAACGGCTTCGCAATGTGCGCGCAGTGGAACTAATGTCTGAAAAGGATTGAACAGGTGACTTATCCATGCTAGATTGCAGGTGCCGAGCTACTTTGTGCATTGGAACAGCTGCCTCAAATGTGTTCTTGAAGTATTGTCTTCTGATGCATTGGCGTTATGCAGCTCACTGTTGGCAGATTGGAGCTGCTGCACCCAGGATGAAATTTGAAGGTTAGAAGTTACGTGAATCCTTGTTTTTTCGGTAGGCATACGTCAGCGATTGGAGACAAGTAGGCTCCCTTTCGCGACGGGGTCGGGCATCGTTGGATTAGCGCCGAAACGTTCTCGCAATGCGCGCGCGCGCGCGCAGTGGAAATAATGAGGTTGAAAATGGTTGAACGGTGCTTTTTTCTCCCGCGCACTTTTTTTAGTTTGCTGTTGACGCTCTGCTATGCTAGTTTGCAGTGCCGAGCTATAATTACTTTGTGCATTGGAACTGCTCTATCCCAGATGAGATTTGAAGGTTAGAAGTTGTGCGAATCTGCGCGTTTTTTTCCTTCTCCCCCTGGGTAAACGGACGTCAGTCATCGGAGATAAGTCGGCTCCTTTGCGTGACGGGTTGGTCACTTCCGCGGTAGCATCGAATCCTGCTCAAAATGCGCGCGCAATGGAGCTGAGTTCTCAAGTTCTTTTTTTTGCTGTTCACGCTGTGCTTTGCTATTGTGCTGGTGCAAAGCTACTTTGTGCATTGGAACTACTGCGTCAAGCTTATCTGTTGCTGAGGTTTGTATTGCGATTCTGTGTTTTTTTGCAACTAGGTCTCTGCAGATCGCATTGGACTGGCTCCATCAAGGTCCGGTATCTTGGTGCTGCGGCCGCGTGCGTTCTATGCTTCTATTTTGAACTTGGCGTCGCAAATCGTATTGGAGTGGCTGCATCAAGGTTGCCATGATTTTGTGGTGTTGATCATTTTCCCGTTAAGACATTGAAGATTCCTTGTAAAAAAGTGCCTCAAATTTGTACTTTTTGTGCTTTGGCGCCGAGGCAATGAGGCAATTCGCGTTGCCATTGTAGTTCTATGATGTTCTATGATATTTTGCAACTCCGTCTGCAGATCGCAGTGTGGCTGCAACAAGGTTCTTGGGTGCTGTGGCTGCGTGCTTAGGAGTTTGAAAGAAAAACGGCGAGTCATCAACTTATTTTGACAGTGAGTAAAGGTGAAGTCAGATGAGAAGAGTCTAGAAGAGAGTTGAGAAGAGGCGGGAAGAGGCGGGAAGAGGTGAGAAGACTGAGGTGGGAAGAGTTGAGAAAAGGTGAGAAGATGCGAGAATGAGAAGAGGTGAGGTGAGGAGAGTTGAGAAGAGCGAGCAGATGTGAGAAGAGTCAAGAACAGCCAAGAAAAGTTGAGGAAAGGTGGGAAGAGGTGACAAGAGGTTGCCACAAGAAAAGGCTACAAGAGCTGAGCAGAATTGAGAAGAGGTGAGAAAAGTTGAGGAAGAGGCGAGAAGAGGTGAGAGGAGTTGAGAAGAGGTGACAAGAGTAAGGAGAGGTGAGAGGAGTTGAGAAGAGTGAGAAGAATTGAGAGGTGGTTTGAGAAGAGCTGAGTAGAATCGAAGTGGTTTTTCAAAAAACTGAGAACATCTTAAGTTTTTCCACTTCCTAGAAAATTTCTTTGTCAGTCCTATAGGGAAAAAAACTATAAACAACTGTTTTTTGCTGGAAACTTCCGCCCGCCTTGTGCGTGGCTTCACGGGTTGACTACCCACGGGCCGCACCCTAAGGACGGCCTGCGACAAAGGCTCTCAGAAACCCAGCGAGATCAATTGGCGAATCGCTTTGGGCAGGCCAGCGGGGGAGTTTTATGATGTTTTATGGGCAGGAATTTGAATAAGTTTTTTTTGGTAATCAACAAGAAGTGGGCCTTCATCTGCCAAAATTTCAAATTTGATCAATTTGATCGCCCAAACCGCGGGGATTTCACGAGCAAGAGATGGAACTTAACCAGCAAACATTCCAGTTTACTTTGATATATAATTGAAACTTTTGTGGATATCACCACAGGCGACCTCAGAAACATCCCCAAATCCAATTTTTTCTCACTTGTTCTTTCACTTCAACTTGATTTTTGAAGATCTTTCAACATTTCTTTGCCCGCCGTTCTCATCATCGCTGCCGCCATGGCGCCCGCAGGCGATGGACCTGCCTCAGATGGACCAGGAAACTCGCCGGCAGCTGGCATGGCACATGGAAGATCAGCTGGGTGTGCCACGGAACCAAGATCTCTTCGATGGATGGAGAGATCGGATGGGATGGGCTGGGATGGGGAGAACTTTTTGTTGATTGTTCAATCCAGTAATTATCAAGGGCAAAGGGTCTTCCACCATTTTAGATGATTTTCCCATTAAAGCCGCTGTTATAAGGGATTTTCCAGCTAGCCAATGTTTGATTACCAGAGGGTATATGAAACTGGGGGGAACATTTTTGATACCCCAAGTTCACGTTGGTGACTCGTTTACTTGTTTAGCTTGTTTTTTTGACTTATTTTGAGGCAAATATCGATGGGTGAGATGGATGGTAAGCAGCAAAATGTTGTACAACAATTTGGGGGTATGTATAACACACTCACACATACATACACACGTATATGCATATATATATATATATTATATGCAAATAAAAAATAATAAATGAATAGATAAATAAACAAATAACAATAAATAAACAAATAAACAAATAAATAAATAAATATATATATATATACATAGTTTGTAGCGAACAAAGGTTGGTATGTAGAGATGAAACGATGCTTGGATTGCTGTGGATGATGGGTCATGTACCACCTATGATTGTTGCAGATGGTCTCGAAGGATGTCAACTGGGGATCATCCCATCGCAAGACAAAACATTGAAACTGATAATGAGGGTATCACCTATCAACATGGGCTTGTTGCCTATTCATTGACGAGGCAAGTGAGACAACCACAAGAAAATGAGCTACAATGATGATTTTGACTGAGATTTCCAGGTTTCAATCATTTTTACCAGAAGTATCAGTGCTTTGCTGCAAGCGCGCAGGAATAATTCCCCTCCTGCCAGTTGAAGCATCACGGCAGCTGGGAGGTGGGCCGATGGATGTAGCATATGCAGCTGACTTGTTGGCCAAGTGTCATGAATCTGCAGATTACTTCAGCTCCAGTAGGTCAGCATGTATAGCTGGTATAGCTGTAGGATTACTTTTTTGATCTTTCCTGGGATCTTCCTGAAGTATTTTCAAGGAGGATACATCTATTGATCTATCTGTGGATCCCAGCTTGGCTGGTGCCTTTCCAGGGTGAAGATCGAAGAGCCCGGGAGTTTGAAGTGCGGCTCCAATGTCATGGATGAACAATGGTTGCCTTTTGCCCTGTTAGTTGAGGAAAGGGGACAATAAGATCCAACAAATCGATATATATATATATATCATATAGAGAGAGGGCGAAGGAGATTGAGTATATGATGGGGATCTTCGTCATGAGCTGGGAAATCCTGTTACATAACCTTATGAACAGAGATTCCAATAGAAATCATCCTGATGATTAAAGTAAAAATCCTTCATCACCTCAGGTCTTTCTTTTTTTTTTTGACTTTTTTGATGCACCTTCCAACATGGAGCCGCTGCGAGAATTACTGCTGGTGGTCAGGTTTGTCCCCCAAAATTGGTTGGATCGTGTGCCACAGGCAGCCACAATGCTTCCCTATAGGCTTGTGTGAGACATTGGGTGGCACGGTCCAACTCATTTGAACGGACACAACCATCAAGCCAGAGGGGTCAAGGGGTTAGGGAACGTGGCGTGGTCAAGGCTCAACATGTGCCACCACAGGGGTTCCATGGATGCTTGGCAAGCACAAGCCATGGCTGAGCGATTTGAGACAAGATGCGAAACAAAACGACCGCAGATGCAGTGTGATGGAGTGCGGTCACGGCCATTTGGAGATTCATCGAGATGTGAACTGAGTGAAAAACCACAATGTGAGGGTTAATTTTCTATTTTTTTTCTCCCCCTCTCCTCCCAACTTCCATGATCGTGCATGGCTGCACCACTGGATAGTACAGCGTCATTTTGGTCCACATGCTATGCAGGGGCGCTATCCCAGCCGCAATGATGAATGTGGGTAGGAATTCTCGGATGTTTGAAATAGGCCAAAGAATTCAGGTTGGGTCATACATGTGTTGGTTTCACAAACTAAACACATTATTCTGGTCGCAAAGCCATACCATGCCATACCCAATTGGCCGCTCAGATCTTGATTCCCATGATCCCACGACAACTTCGCGTGGGCTCAAGGCACATCGGAGAACCCGGGGGGACCCTTGGCCGGCGGGCTGGGAGCGCCAGCAAGGCTCATGGAGACGAGGCCGCATGGGATATGTGAACACATGGAGATATGGGATTGGTCAAAACCTGGGATTTTCTAGATTCAAGACTATTGTGATTGGATTGGTTTAAGGGAAAATTTACAGGAAACCATAGATTTTCCCATTAAATATGGGGCTTTCCTGTAGATTTTCCCTTAAACCCATCCACTGATATTGAAGAGAGGATGCAAATCAATGAGCGCCACTTATTGGGGTTTGATCATGTTTGATCCAAGAGCCATATGGCTCCAAGATGCAGGAAACCCATGCAGTTGCCTCCGCAAGAAAACATCTTATTGCTTTGGGGAATGGCATGATATTTCTCCGAACCTCACCAACTCACATGAAATTCTGGGGCGCACCTGCGCTCACTCTGCCCACTCTTGGTGTTGCGACTTGGGGCTGAAATTTTCAATTTATCAGAGATGAACACCAGGTCGACTGGTTGGTGGTTCTGAATCCTGCTACCTTCACAGCTATGTTTTGGGTTGTTCCTCCCCCCCGTCCCCTATTTGGGCCAAAGCGTTACATATCTGTCATATCTGTGGATTGTTTGTTTCGAGGTGATTAAAAGCAAGCAACCTTTTCAGGTAGATGTATCGCGAGCGGCCGGTCCAGACCCCAGCGGAAATGATCTCCTCATGCTGGCAGCTTCACAAGTTGGTAGAAATGCCTTACACTACCCATCTGAGACTTGCCCACCTAATAGCTCGGTGTATATGGTGGAGATGTCACAACATGCTCCAAGCCAATTTTTCTCAGGGTTCCAGACAGTCAACTGGAAGAACAACTGCTAGTTTTTCTTCAGAAAAAGACTGCCAGGGCCGAGATAATGGCCGGGCTGTGGTGCCTCTTCCCAGCTTGGAGCAGGATGCTGTCTACCAAGAGGCTGGGTGACATCAAGAGAATTCTGCATAGGAAGGGTTCCCTCAGCCACTCGGTTTTGTGTTCTCGAGGTTTCCCAGTTCAGTTCAACATAGTTCGACATTCCAGTTGGCAGACATTAGCCTACAGGCGACCTTTGGCTGCGATTTTGCATGATAGGAACAATCGGAGCAATGCCCATTGGACCCAAACCAATCAGTAGATTGTTGATGTTTGATCATTGATGCGGGCGTGTTATGAAAATGATGTAATCCACGTAATCCATTGGAATTGAGGCCAGCATATTTTCAGACAAACTCATTTTGGGGCAAACTTCAGTACTTTGGTGGCCGGGCGGATAGTCCATGTCTGCAACTTGAAATGGCTCAAGCTACGACGTCAACTACAGTTAAAGGTGCAGATGCAAACTGCTGAGCCTCGTTCCACAGAAACATACCCAGAAAAAAAGCCAAGTGCCGCAAGGAAGTATGAAGCGCTTCTACTCAGCTCATCCCTTACAGCATGTGAGAGCATGCCGCTATTGTCCCATTTTCATCCATTTTTCAGGATCCGCTTTGTGGGGATATCTTCCGCATGTTTTTAGGTTTGCGGCCATGTCATATCGAGCCCTCTCTCCGCTGGCCCTGGTGTTGCAGCTCGCGGCGGCAGTGGAGCTGACCAAAGCATCCTGGGATGTGCAGCACTCAGCACCTGGCAGGTCATCATTTGTGCATCAAGTCGAGATGATGATATGAAAGCGGGATGGGATGCTTCTATATACTGTAGTATACACTTACTGTATCTTACTGTATATAGTTGACGAATTGATGTTAACTAATCGATGCCGATCGATGATCATGCAACAATAGTTCCTATCATTAGCAGTTGGTGTACCATGTTTTCACACGGCAGAAGATCATTCAATATCATTCTATATCATTCTATATCATTCTATATATATATGAATCTATATATATATATATCTATATATATATACATAGATCTCTATATAATTATATATATATATATCTAAATCTTCATATCTATTATAAATCTATAAGTCCACATAGACATGTAGACATGTAGACATGTAGATATGTATCTATCTATCTATATATCTATATCTCTCTATATATCTATCTATCTATCTATCTATCTATCTATCTATATAAATCTATCCTATCTATCTATATATATATCTATCTATATATCTATCTATATATCTATCTATATGTCTATCTATATATCTATCTATATATCTATCTATATATCTATCTATATATCTATCTATATATCTATCTATATATCTATCTATATATCTTATCTATGTCTATATCTATATCTATATCATATATATATATATATCTACATCGATATCTATATATCTAATCTATCTATGTCTATATACCTAATCTACTATCTATCTATCTATCTATCTATCTATCTATCTATCTCTCTCTATCTATCTAAATCTAAATCTGAATCTAAATCGAAATCTAATCTGATCTAATCTATCTAATCTATCTATCTATCTACCTATCTATCTATCTATCTATCTAATCTAATCGAATCTAATTTGATCTGATCTGATCTGATCTGATCTGATCCTATCTATCCTATCTATCCTATCTATCCTATCTATCCTATCTATCCTATCCTATCTGATCTAATCTGATCTAATCTGATCTAATCCAATCCTAATCTAATCTTATCTAATCTAATCCTAATCTAATCCTAATCTAATCTAATCTAATCCTAATCTAATTTAAATCTAATCTAAATCTCTAATCTAATCTAAATCTAATCTAAATCTAATCTAAATTTAATCTAAATCTAATCTAAATCTAATCTAAATCTAATCTAAATCTAATCTAAATCTAATCTAAATCTAATCTAAATCTAATCTAAATCTAATCTAAATCTAATCTAAATCTAATCTAAACCTAATCTAAACCTAATCTAAATCTAATTTAAATCTAATCTAAATCTAATCTAAATCTAATCTAAATCTAATCTAAATCTAATCTAAATCTAATCTAAATCTAATCTAAATCTAATCTAAATCTAATCTAATCCTAATCCAAATCTAATCTAATCTAATCCTAATCCAATCCTAATCTAATCTTATCTAATCTAATCCTAATCTAATCCTAATCTAATCCTAATCCTAATCTAATCTAATCCTAATCTAATCTAATCTAATCCTAATCTAATTTAAATCTAATTTAAATCTAATCTAAATCTAATCTAAATCTAATTTAAATCTAATCTAATCTAATCTAATTTAAATCTAATCTAAATCTAATCAAAATCCAATCTAAATCTAATTTTAATCTAATCTAATCTAATCTAATCTAATCGATTTATTTGTCTATTGCATATGTGTCAGGGCCACATATACTTGGCTTACGGCTGGTGCTGCCGAGGAGATGACGGCGGGCAAGCGGGTCTTCATCAAATTCTTCGCACCATGGTGCGGCCACTGCAAGCGCTTGAAGCCTGCCTGGGATCAGCTCATGGAGGAGCGGGGGCTTCATACATGGGATTCCCGGCTGGGAAATCCGGATACTGGATGTTTTCAAATGGGCCAATCATATAACTGAGGGATTCCATGGCAAGCCATGTTTGATTGCCAGAATTTGCCAGAGGCTACACCCCAAAAAAGGACTAGTCTAATTATAATTACTTCCAACATCTTAAAACTACACATTGAGCGCCATCTGTGGTCCCTTGGGCCAGGCTTATGCGGGACACGAGAGCATTTTAGTGGCAGAGGTGGACTGCACCTCCGCCGGTGCAAAAAAACTCTGCGACGAGGAGGGTGTGGAAGGCTTCCCAACGCTAAGGCCCGGATGGAAATTGAGGATATTGAATAGCCTTGGTGTAGCCATTTGGGGATTGTACATATACCATCCATTGATATCCATTGATATCCATATACAATCCATTGATATCCATAGATATCCATAGATATGGAGATGCGTCAAAACCTACTATTCCCAAATTTGGGGGAATATACATCCATTGACCAGCTATTTTGGGGTACCATCCGGGTTACCATCCGGGTGCCAGGGTTTTGACTCATAGCCATATACCATCCATTGATGGTGATACTCGGCATCAATTGATTGTTTCTGGCATCAGCTCGCCAGGTTTGGCGATCCACTGGCCTTGGAGGTGACGGGCCAGTGGTGGCCGATGGTAAGTCAGGCCCCACAAGGAAGAGATCCAGGATGATCCAGGTTTTGGTCTAAGGGGGTTAGTGGATGTTAATGGGGGATGGGAGGGGTTTGGAGGGGTTTCCTTGTTGACTATCTTTTTATATCTTTTTGATGCACTTCTACGCAGTACTTTAAGACTACATAGATACCGTAGTCGCCGTAGTTGCGCGATGTTGGGTCACGAATCACGACTCATCCCTATGACCCTGCTTCGTGGATTTAGACTTGTGCCCACCGACTCGTCATCCAAAAAACTATACCAAATGCCTCAGGACTACAACGGCTTTCGCGACTTTGAAGCGCTTGATAGTTTTACAAAGGCTTCTGTTGGGACGGGTTGGGATGACTGGAGGGATTTCCACCCGAAAGGTGACCGGACCAGTGAACCAAATTCGGGTCACAGTCAGAGTATTTTTTTTTCAAACTGATATTTTGGCCCATGGACGAAAGTAGGGAACCTGCCCCGTTTTGAAGCAGCTCAGCACCCCTTCGCTCCCAAGTTGTTTGAGTCCCATTTTCCGGTCCCCAATGGCTTGCCCCACCTTCCACATGCCCTTGTCCAAGAATAGGGTGCCTCTCAAAATTCCAGCGGTTTATCACGTCTTGCCATCCTGTTCCCCATTAAGATACACCTGTTGGTTAATATTAATATATCACATTAGACGTTATATCCCCATTATGCCCCTATATATGGCCCTAAAACTTGGCGGACACCCAAGTGGTTGGTTGCATTCTAGAGAGAGCGAGTCGTTGATATGTTCTTTTCATCGTCGGCGAATCATGTACCGTTGGACAGTTGGATGATTTTCCGCCATGCCCAAAATAGTTATCTCCCAATTTATTGCCTTTTACCATGCCCCAAAATGGCTGCTTTTTTTTTTGGCCCATGTTTGGACAGATGGTGACAGGCCAACTTGGGTCCCTCCTGCAGTCCCGAGCGCATGGACCTTTGCGATGAGCTGACGCGAAAACGCATTGAGGAGTGGATGGAAATGCCCATGAGCTCCTCGGCCTGACAGGAAGCTGTTTCAGGAACCTTGGGGAACATTTTATCTCATTTTATGGGGGTTGTTTTTTGGTGACATTCTATGAGCACTCATGCCAATCATGGGGAATAACTTCGTGAATATACATGGGTATGATCTCTATTAGTTGATGTTTTGATGATTAGCTTTCATTTGTTTATTCACTTGCTTCTACGTACGCGCAGACATGCATATAGAAATATAATGCACGCACACATATACTTACCTTGATAATCATTTGCGTATTTTTCGGTAGATGTATGTAATATGCATGTTTATACATACATACATACGTACGTACGTACGTACCTACATACATACATACATACATATATATATATATATATTATATCTCTCTCTGTGTGTTGTGCGCATCTATTTTTCCCAATACCACCCTAAAACATCTAGGGTATGAACCACCAGCGTGCTGGGTCTGTGTGTTGCAGGGCTCGGTTGAAGTCATTCAGTGAGTCGACGGTCTGAAGTAGTTTCACGATATCGTGGCTACAGGGTCAAGAATTAAAGCAGGGGACCACAGGGCTTTGTACCCATCTTCAGTGTTACCCACCCAATTTCCAATTTGACACCTTCGGAGCCATTTCCAAATCGGGGTAGTGATGCAAGTCAGTCAGACGGTGCATGTCAAGACTCATTACAGGCGAGTTGAAATACAAGATCAGGAAGAAGGACTTGGTCACGCAGCATCCCGGTTGAGGGCTAGGCTTTGATCGGGGTATTTGATGGCATACAGTATTGGGTACAATTGTCCGTGTTTGTTGAGGGCGGAATGAACCTATATACCTCCTGGTAAATCAAACATGGATGGTGAGAGAAAAGCATCATCAAATACCATTAAATGACAGTTAGAGTCGGAGATGGTGTTATTCTATTCTTGGAAAAACCCGCGATTTTGATATTGAATAGAATGATATTATCCACATTTTTCACTAGCAATTTCATTCTATCCCCCATAGTTACCCCTAGTTTTTCCATTGCGAAAAAAAACTGCAGGAGGAGGAGGTAACAGCCGCTGAGAAGGACCTGAAGGAAGGGACGTTCAGCTACTGGGGGAGGGCCCTGAACCGAAGAAGCGATTAAAAAAACCAGGGAAGATCAAGGGAAGATCAAGACATCACCAGTTCTCAGCCAGTTCTCCACATTTTTTAACTGCCTTTGGTATCCTTTGGTGCCAACTTTTGGAGCTGTTGGGAGCCTCCAAGTTTCTGCCAGGGCTTTGTGAAACAGTTGGAGAAGAAGTATGACGATGCCGTGCAAGCCCAGGACAGGCAAGTTGATGTAATCAACCAATCAATCAGTCAACAAACTACTCAATCGATCGATCAATATACCGATACCATTTATTATTGTTGCTGTCATTCTTTTTAATTTTTTCAAGATCATTATTATTATCTTTTGCTATTCTTGCGTTGCTTACAGTATATCATTGTCATTGATGAATTGATTGTCATTATTGTTATTATATAAGTGTTATTCTTGTTCTTGTTATTGTCATTGTTGATGGAGTGTGAGAGAGATGTATTGTTTTATGTCGCGCATATCAGGAAGACAATTCTCCTCAACACTCCAGGAAGCTAAGCAGAAGGCCATCAAGGAGGGTGGCTTGAGCATGATGAAAGCCGTTCAGGCTGGGGATCATGTACTTTGCTAACAGACATACGCACACACACAATCTATCTATCTATATATATAATTACATACATATATACACACTTTAACTTTATGTGCTCAATGTATAGAGACAATTATATACACCACATGCAAGATTAGAACTCATCAACATACAACATTAGGTACGTCAGCGTTGTGTACAAGGCACACGAAACTAACACACATACATACATACATATATATATACACATACATACATACATATATATATACATACATATGTATATATATATATTTACATATATATATATACATACATACATACACACATAACACACATAACACACACATATATATATAAACAATTAATGTAAATATACCACTAACCAAACAATTGCGTATATATGTATATGTAAATCTAAATATGTGTAGTTATGACTTTTGATCAAACCCATGTATATCATGCTTTTAGATAAAACACACACACAGATATATAATTATTAGTAATTAATAATAATAAATAAATAAATACATAGATAACTAAATAACTAACTAACTAAATAAATAAATAAATACATAAATAAATAAATACATAAATAAATAAATAAATAAATATAATACATATACAATTATATATGTATATATTATAAACATGCATATCAATACATTGTGAATTCCACATGACGCAGCTGCAGCCAGGCTCACAACCGCCGCCTGCAGCGCGCCGCCAACGGCGCCGCGCAGTCCACCGCGAAGCCGGCGAAGCGGACGCCGTCGCGGAGCGAGCTGTAGCCGATAGCAACCCCCCAAAAAGATGCGGAAAAATATGTAAAATCCCACTAGAAAAGTGAGACATAGATGACTTTTCTATGTTTTTGGTGATTATATACTTACAATTAGACTTGTTTGGAGAAAAAGAGAGAGTGGTAGAGTTTCCCGCTTTCCTTTCGGCTGTGTAAAATACATTCTGGGAGATGCTTGTATAATAATATAAGATTGTGTATATTCGAATTTGGGCATGTTCCTGTTCCGGATCTTGTTGAAACCGTAGGGAGATCAAGTATGCCTTTTTGGTGAGATTTTCATGTAGTATTTTGGTGGTTTCCTATCTAAGCACGCATCAAAGAATGGACTATCATTGTATGCTGGAGCATCTTCTGGTTAAGAGGGTTGATCTTGAACCTGCCCCCTGTTGGAGTATCCCCTTGCAACGCAACACAGAACTTCCAAGAACTGTCTTGTTCCAATGGTCAAAGCCATGGGGTCCGATGGGAATGTGCTCTGTTGCGTCGGTTGCAAACCGAGATGGCTGATGAAAACCACTTAGGACCAGACTTAAAATGTACCAAACTTCTGACAAAACAAGATGTGGAGGTTTCAGATGGCCCCAATGATGCCATCGCTGGTCCAGCAGGTTCTCATGCCAAATGTACACAGAAATTGTCAGCTGCGTGCAGATCATTTGTTGAAAAACCTGCAGCTTTTCTCTCGTTGGTGCCAGATTTCTGCCAAACACCATGGGCGGCCCTAGGAATCCGGTTGGTCTCAATGAGAATGGACTTGCCATGAGTCATCCAACTTCCAACCTGCAGCCATTTTGGACTGGCTCCAATTTGGATGTGTCCAAAACTACCGGGACGCGCCAACCGCATAGTTGGCATAGTTTCCCAGTTTTGGGGTTTTGGGTATCATCAAAACCAACTCACTTTTGGTGGAGTTGGTGAGATTTTTGTGATGATGGAGATGCCAGGGATGTCTGACCTGCTAGACCAGATGCGTTCCATGCCGCCTGAGCTCCTTGAACAGCTTCGACAGGAGGGGCCTGAGCAGATGCTGCAAAGGTTGGGCATGACACAGCCAGTTTCAGACAGCACTATGGGTGTCAGAGATGTCAGAAAGGCGGCCGAAGTCGAAGCTCCGGCGATTTATGCTGAGGTTTTAGCCAGCTACTGCCATCCTGATGCCGTTCGCGAGTATGACAAGTTGCGGGCAGAGGAGCGTGAGAAGTTGTTGAAGGCCTTGCGGGTCACAGTCGAAGAGAACTTCCAGCACTTCAGTTCCCAAATGATGCAGGAGCAGCTGCTGAATAAGGCCAGCAGCCTGAAAGCAAGGAATGCCGTCAAGGACTCTCCGCTCGTGAGGGCCTTGAGGTTGGTGACGGCATCTGAACTTCTCCATCCAGAGGCATTGGAGGCTGTTGAGGCCACGCTCCACAACTGGGGTCGAAAAATGCCACGAGATCTCCACGTGATGCAGTTTATGATGGGCTATCAGAACCACGTGTTGAAATTCAAGGACCCTGGCAGCAACAAGGAGATGTGGACATTGAGGACCAACTCCACCATCATCAAGCCTGAGGCTTCAACCAGCCAGCCTAGGAAATGGGCCCAGCTGCAGCCAATGGGAATCAGTGCCTTGCGTTTGTTTGGGGTGGCCACTGGGAGAGTGTTGGTGGGAAAGCTGATCGTACCACCCATGGTCACAGTTGGCATCACCACCTTGCTCCAGGATGACTTGGGGGAGGTGATCCAGTTGGGCCTCTACAATCAGCTGCAAGGAGGCGTCACCGGCCATCAAGCACAAGAGCTGGCGGAGAAACAGTTTTGCAAGGGCGCCAAGCTTCAGATTGCCGAGCCCTTTCTGAAGATCTTCAAGGATGGCAATCAGGGTATCCGAGTGGACAGCCCTCATGACATTCGCCTTGAGACCCCTGGGAAAGCTGGGGATACGATCCAAGACCTGCAGGATTTCCGCCAGAGCGGGAACGAGCTCTACAAGAATGGGCAGTTTGAGGCAGCGTTGTTGGAGTATTGGCGAGGTTTGCGAGCCTGTGATGAAATTGCCGTGTTGCTCTCAAACAGATCACAGGCACATCTGAAAACCGAGTGCTGGGCTGAAGCATGTCGTGACAGCGCTGCCAGTCTGCTGTTGCGCCCGCAAGGGGCGAAACACCGAGCGCGATATGTCCTCATCCTTCAGGGTCTCGGTTTTCCAGACTTAGCCCAAAGAGCCCAGAAGGCTTTTTCTGACTCATCGATGGGTCGCCTTGAGCCATCTATCCAAGACACTCAAGCAGTGCTTCGCTTGACGCTGAAGGTGCCCCACCTGAGGACTGGTGGCAGGTCAGAAGAGGATTCCGCCAGTTTGAAAGAGAAGGGAAACATGGCTTTTCGAGAAGGGAAATTCTCTGAGGCTGGGTCGGAGGTTGACACTTGCTGCACTGCTGGTCGTTTTTTTTCTGCCATTTTTGTTGTGCTTTGTCACTTGGCAGATCTTGGGTCCTACAAAATACCCTGCAGGCAGCAACATTTTACACACAAGCATTGGAAGGGCATCCAGCTGCTGAAGAAGTAGCTTCTTGACTTGCAAGATTTGCTTGGTGGTGTGGTGGTGGTGGTGGTGTGGTTGGCCTCTCTTTGCCCTTGTCAAAGCGCAAGTGAGCTTCAAAACAGAATTGAATGCTAGTCTGAATCCTTCGCCCAAACCTTCTTCTGAGGCTAATCTCCTTCGCAATGTGGCACTCTCTTCCACCCGTGCTGGGCTGCTCCATGATGCAGTAGCAGCTGCTGCTGCGAGCTTGAGGTTGCAATTCCATGCCAAAGCCGTTTATCACCTTGCTCACGCGCTGGCCCTCTTGGGTGAACTTGAGCTTTCAGAGGAGGTCCTCAGTCAGACAGGAACTCAGACAGGGACTCAGGCAGCAATGACGCAGCTGACTGGAGAGGTGGCTACAACGAAGGGATATGTTTCTCTCAAGTACCCCTCAGAAATGGTAGCAGCTGCTGCCACCATGTGCCGCTGGCCGGGGAAGTTCATGGTAGACTGGGTGTCTGAAGCCATCGTCATTGAAAGAGTTGCACGCAAAGGCAGAGGAGTGCGGAGTGCAGGGTTTGTTTCGGCTTACCGCTTGATGTTTTGGTGACAACCAGATGGAGCTGCAGTGTTTGAATTCCACCACCATGCATGTCGACAAGAAAAACAGTACCAATGAGTAATATGAGTGTGCACTCTCACTCACTCTCAATTAAGGGCATGGGTCAAGACTTCCTTGTCAGAGTTGGTGTATTTTTACATGAATTAGTGATGCAAATTGCCCAGGAGTGCGATCTCTTCGCGACATCGCCTTTGGGGAAACTCTAATCATTCAGCGTCCGAGGGGATCTGTGTCGACTGACGCCACAACGGGTGAGCTGCTAACTTCGACGGACACAAATTCAGGTAGGAAAAGCCATGGGGGGAAGGGCTGGAACTGCACTGCAGGCCATGAAACTGAAGCCAAGGGTTCGTTGCACTACCCGCAACAGGGCCCCCCAAAAAGAGGACAATTACATACAATTACTGTTACTTGAATTTGAGAGAATGTAGCTGGCAAGCCCAAGGTACAGTATACAACAGCACGTTCTTTCTGAAGCCCAGCTTCAGGACTCATCGAGGACGCCTCAAAGGTGAAACTCACATCGCAGCTGACGTCCATGGCAAGCAAAGACCAACTCTTAGCGAAGGTGTTGTCGAACCTCGAGGATGGCACTGGGGTGGAGCGACCGGTCATGAGTTTTCACAGCTTTCTGGATTCACTGCAGGCTTCAGTCCTTCCCCTTCTGCTACAGCAAGCCGAGTTCTTCTCCGCAACTGAGCGGCTCGAGCTGAGCTATGCACGCATTCAAGGCGTCGTGAATGTCAATGTCCATGGTGACAGCAAGGAATCCATGAGAAACTGGCAAGCTGGTAAATCCCAGGCTAACTCTCGCGGCAACAAGCTCCTGGGCGGCAGCACTGCGCTCTACCCTGCAGTTTCGATGATCAACCATTCCAATGAACCGAACTGCGTCCTGCTGCCCTTCTTCAATGAAGATGAACCCAAAGGCATGGCGGTGAGCGCACGCAGGCACATCTCCAGAGGAGAAGAGCTGACCCTGGCGTACCTGGATGACCCTGAGGCAGTGAAAGCTAAGTGGGGCATTTCTTGAGATTTGGACCTTGGAATTCCCCACTTTGCCTTCGCTGGATTGCTGGAGCTGAGCCAAATGGGCCGCACTGTGAGCGCGTGTGTAGACCCAAAATTGGACAAAATCGTGATTCATCCTGATCCTGCCGTTTGTGTCTTTGCAAGTGCCATCCCTTGACTTGTTCACATGACGAGAACTCATGGGCTGTTCCTCCAACTTCTGCAGAAGATCAGGCAAACACAGGCAAACTGCGTAGGCTTTATCACGAGGCCAGCTGTATCCAGCTGTGCAATGTGCATGGGTGGCCGCTAGATTTTGCTTGTGCGTAGTATCGGATCCCCGCTCCAGCCCGACTTCTGCCATCGCCATGCTGGCCATTCGCAGCCTTCCATTGCTGTCCATGTTTGCGGCCGTTGCAGCCATGGAACTGACGAAAGAAACTTGGGACGACTCGACCTCAGTGGGCTCTGGGGGCATTATAGCACACGAGCGCGCGGTGACTCCAGGTTTTGTTGTTTTCCACCTACCGTGACACAAGGACACAAGGAAAGACATTAGAGTTTGGGGCATATTGAGCATGTTTTTTTTGGCATGCCTCGGCTGATCTTTTTTCCAGGCAAGTTGCGGCAACTGTGCTGCAGCTATATACAGTGACACCCTATGCTAGAAACAGCATGACACCCAAGCGTCCAAGGAGAAAACAGCAGGCAAGACGGTCTTCGTGAAGTTTTTCGCACCATGGTGTGGCCACTGCAAGCAGCTCAGCTGAAGTTGTAGGGGGTAGTTCTTCGCTTTCGATGCCAAGTTGGATCTTGAACATGGGTTGAATGGGTCTAGGTGTTGTCATTTGAACTGTGGCTTTCTTCATGAGAAGTTTGCAGGAGCATACACGTGCTGAGTTTGCACCCTAGCAACATCATACCCAAAGATGAAGATATTTATAGCAATTTTATAGCCGGGGTGTCTTAGCAATATCTTCACCATGCCGTGAATTATTGACATGACTCTCTTTTGTCAACCTGTACCGAGCACACAGGTGCCAAGAGCACCGGCTGAGGAGCATGAAGCCAGCCTGGGATAAACTCATGGAAGCATACAAAAATGATGAGTCCATCCTGGTGGCCGATGTGGATTGCATTGGCACTGGCAAGTCCAAGTGTGATGAGGTCGGCGTCAAGGGTTTTCCCACCATCAAGCAGCTTGGAAATGGATGTGGCAGAATGTTGCAGAATGGACATCATGGTGCAGGATTAAAAAAAAAACTGTATAGTCCTGCGCAAGACTTTCGTCTGAGGCACGGAGACCCCAATGACTTGGAGGATTACAAAGGTGGCCGCGACTTTGATGCGTTGAAGAAGTTTACGGAGCTGACTGGGGCACGGGCCGTGGGGCATGGGGCATGGGGGGACGGGATGGTTGGGATTGTGATGGCGGGAACCTCTGGGCGCGAGCCCATGGATTTGCAAGGGGTTGGGTCTGAAGGAATTTCCCTTGAGAATCCCCATCGTCGCGGCAGGAGACTTTGGGCCCCACCTGTGGTCCCAAGAACCAGGATCTCTGCGATCAGGACAGGGCATGTGCTGTGCTCCTGGAAAGGGGGGCTTGGGAAAAAGGATTGGAGGATAGGTTTCCAGGGGCCAGTAGATTGTGCTCAATGCCTGCAATCACCAGTGTCCATCCCAATAGCTACAGCTTTGGTGATGGGGAACAGGACAAGAAAAAGAAGCTTGAGGAGTTCATGAAGATGCCCATTGGCTACTCGGCGCCAGATTTTCTCGTCGATTTGGCCCGATTTGGCATGAGATATGGATTACACTGATCGGTGTTCCCCAGATCAACTTCCCCACATGGGCGCTCCTTTTCTCCATCCTTTCCCGTCAATTTAGGCGACTTGAAGAAGCTCATCACGGAGCAAGAGGCCCTGAGTGAAAAGGCCGAAACCGAATTGTCCGAGCTCCTCAAGAAGCTTCAAGAGCAGTATGAAACAGGGCAGAAGGCCCATGGGAGCTGTGGACGTGTTCCAAGGTTTGCTTATGTTAGCTGCGAGCTTTCATGAGATGGGCGATTGTATGTGTAATTTTAATTAAGTTTATGTAAATTTGTAGAATACAAGCAGTCAACACGCTACCGTATTCCAAGCTGGCCCATCTTATTTTTCATTGGGCGAACCCAGCCCGTGTAAAAGCGAGGACAAAGAAAGGAAGCAGCAGGAGATCAAAGATGCAGGGCTGGGTTTGATGAAGAGCGTGCAGGCCGGTCATGGCTGCGTATGGCTGCGCCATCTGCCAAGGATGTGGGATGGGCAGACTTTGCGGGAATTCTTGTGACTTCCTGCAGCTGATGTGCCTTTTTTTCCTGATGATAAGGGTCATGATGATGCCTCATGTACGGTAGATTCGGGCTATCCTGCCCGGGCAAAATAGCGAATTGCTGACAGAATCATGGCAAAGGCAGCTGAGCTGTCTGGCCAGGCGTACAGGAAGACCGAGAAGAATGAGCTGTGAGCCGAAGAAAGAGGAAGCCTAGCATACCGATGTCCATGATGCCTTTTTCTACCCATTGAGCTGATTAATTACTGTGTAAATGGCATCTGAAATGGGCCCCTCATACTTTTCCACAAGGACATCGTTTGCCAAACCCTTCTTGTGTTGAAAGCTGCATGAGGAGAAAGGTAGCACACAGCGGGAGATCAACGATTTTGGGCTCGGTGTTCTGAAGAGCCGCAGGCGGGTCATGGCTCTGTGTGTCGTGGATGTGGGATGGGCAGACTTAGTGGATTTTCCTGAGATTTTGTGCGGATGATTTCTTTTTCTGATAGCAAGTGGGGCCATAATAGCATAATAGCATGTCCTGTCACCCTTTTCGCTGATGATGAACCCAAAGGCATCTCCAAAGATGAGGAGCTGACCTTGGGTGTACCTGGATGACACTGAGGCAGTGAAAGCTCAGTGGGACATTTCTTGATTAGTTGGTGGTTTCAAACATTGTTTATTTTAAGTTTATTTCCATCCATCCTAGGATGACCCCTTGTGACTATAAACGTTGTTCAGGGGGTCGGAACCACCACACGGTTGCGATTTGGAGCTTGAAACTCCACACTTTACAGAAACCGCCGGCCCCTTCTGGAGCTGAGCAAAACAGGCTGGAGCGCGCATCGTTTCTTATGGTTTTGGGAAGGGATACTTCACCAGTGGTCGTCAGTGAATTGCATTCAACTTGAACTGCCTTGAGTGTGTTTCCAGGCATGACCCGAACTCATCGGCCATGGCCTTTGCCACCAACTTTATAAGACTTTTGCGCAGGCTCTCATAGGCCTTATCACGAGGCCAGCTGTATCCAGCTGTGCAATGTGCGTGGGTGGCCGCTAGATTTTGCTTGTGCGTAGTATCGGATCCCCGCTCCAGCCCGACTTCTGCCATCGCCATGCTGGCCATTCGCAGCCTTCCATTGCTGTCCATGTTTGCGGCCGTTGCGGCCATGGAACTGACGAAAGAAACTTGGGACGACTCGACCTCAGTGGGCTCTGGGGGCATTGTAGCACACGAGCGCGCGGTGACTCCAGGTTTTGTTGTTTTCCACTTGCCGTGACACAAGGACACAAGGAAAGACATTAGAGTTTGGGGCATATGGAGCATGATTTTTTTGGCATGCCTCGGCTTATTTTTTTTCCAGGCAAGTTGCGGCAACTGTGCTGCAGCTATATACAGTGACACCCTATGCTAGAAACAGCATGACACCCAAGCGTCCAAGGAGAAAACAGCAGGCAAGACGGTCTTCGTGAAGTTTTTCGCACCATGGTGTGGCCACTGCAAGCAGCTCAGCTGAAGTTGTAGGGGGTAGTTCTTCGCTACGGGCGACCATTGAGGCGCTTGAAAACAGTGAGTGATTATGAGTGACTTACATTTCTCAGGGTTTTCAGCGACTCAAAGCGATGTGTGTAAGTTTTCGATGTTTTCGAGAATGAGGCCAAGTTGGATCTTGAACATGTGGGTGGAATGGGTCCTAGGTCTAGTTGTAGTTTGCAGGGGCATCCCAGCAACACTTCATCAAAGTTTTGCTTACCCAAATGTGAAGATTTCCCTAGCAAGGGTATCTGAACCATGCCATGAATTCTTGACTATGACGATGATGATGACGATGACTATGACTATGACTATGGCTTCCTTGTTGTGCACCATCCCATAACTTCTATTTTCTTCATTTCCGATTGTTTATCTGCGACTTCCTGCTATACACGTGCCAAAAGAGTGCCATGCTGACTGGCTGAGGAGCATGAAGCCAGCCTGGGATAAACTCATGGAAGCATACAAAAATGATGAGTCCATCCTGGTGGCCGATGTGGATTGCATTGGCACTGGCAAGTCCAAGTGTGATGAGGTCGGCGTCAAGGGTTTTCCCACCATCAAGCAGCTTGGAAATGGATGTGGCAGAATGTTGCAGAATGGACATCATGGTGCAGGATTTTTTAAAAACTGTATAGTCCTGCGCAAGACTTTCGTCTGAGGCACGGAGACCCCAATGACTTGGAGGATTACAAAGGTGGCCGCGACTTTGATGCGTTGAAGAAGTTTACGGAGCTGACTGGGGCACGGGCCGTGGGGCATGGGGCATGGGGGACGGGATGTTTGGGATTGTGTCTGAAGGAATTTCCCTTGAGAATCCCCATCGTCGCGGCAGGAGACTTTGGGCCCCACCTGTGGTCCCAAGAACCAGGATCTCTGCGATCAGGACAGGGCATGTGCTGTGCTCCTGGAAAGGGGGGCTTGGGAAAAAGGATTGGAGGATAGATTTCCAGGGGCGAGCAGATTGCGCTCAATGCCTGCAATCACCAGTGTCCATCCCAATAGCTACAGCTTTGGTGATGGGGAACAGGACAAGAAAAAGAAGCTTGAGGAGTTCATGAAGATGCCCATTGGCTACTCGGCGCCAGATCTTTTCGTCGATTTGGCCCGATTTGGCATGGGATATGGACTACACTGATCATCACTGATCGGTGTTCCCCGGATCAACTTCCCCACATGGGCGCTCCTTTTCTCCATCCTTTCCCGTCGATTTAGGCGACTTGAAGAAGCTCATCACGGAGCAAGAGGCCCTGAGTGAAAAGGCCGAAACGGAGTTGTCCGAGCTCCTCAAGAAGCTTCAAGAGCAGTATGAAACAGGGCAGAAGGCCCATGGGAGCTGTGGACGTGTTCAAGGTTTGCTTATGTTAGCTGCTAGCTTTCATGAGATGGGCGATTGTATGTGTAAATTTAACATAATTTAACTAAGTCAATGTAATTTTGTAGAATATAAGAAGTCAATACGCTACCGTATTCCAAGCTGGCCCATCTTATTTTTCATTGGGCGAACCCAGCCCGTGTAAAAGCGAGGAGAAAGAAAGGAAGCAGCAGGAGATCAAAGATTCAGGGCTGGGTTTGATGAAGAGCGTGCAGGCCGGTCATGGCTGCGTATGGCTGCGCCATCTGCCAAGGATGTGGGATGGGCAGACTTTGCGGGAATTCTTGTGACTTCCTGCAGCTGATGTGCCTTTTTTCCTGATGATAAGGGTCATGATGATGCCTCATGTACGGTAGATTCGGGCTATCCTGCCCGGGCAAAATAGCGAATTGCTGACAGAATCATGGCAAAGGCAACTGAGCTGTCTGGCGCACATGGCCAGGCGTATAGGAAGACCGAGAAGAACGAGCTGTGAGCCGAAGAAAGAGGAAACCTAGCATACAGATGTCCATGATGCCTTTTTCTACCCATTGAGCTGATTAATTACTGTGTAAATGGCATCTGAAATGGGCCCCTCATACTTCTCCACAAGGACATCGTTTGGCAAACCCTTCTTGTGTTGAAAGCTGCATGAGGAGACAGGTAGCACACAGCGGGAGATCAAAGATTTTGGGCTCGGTGTTCTGAAGAGCCGCAGGCGGGTCATGGCTCTGTGTGCCGTGGATGTGGGATGGGCAGACTTAGTGGATTTTCCTGAGATTTTGCGCGGATGATTTCTTTTTCTGATAGCAAGTGGGGCCATAATAGCATAATAGCATGTCCTGTCACCCTTTTCGCTGATGATGAACCCAAAGGCATCTCCAAAGTTGAGGAGCTGACCTTGGGTGTACCTGGATGACACTGAGGCAGTGAAAGCTCAGTGGGGCATTTCTTGATTAGTTGGTGGTTTCAACATGTTTCAACCATTGTTTATTTCAAGTTTATTTCATCCATCCTAGGATGACCCCTTGTGACTATAAACGTTGTTCAGGGGGTCGGAACCACCACACGGTTGAGATTTGGAGCTTGAAACTCCACACTTTACAGAAACCGCCGGCCCCTTCTGGAGCTGAGCAAAACAGGCTGGAGCGCGCATCGTTTCTTATGGTTTTGGGAAGGGATACTTCACCAGTGGTCGTCAGTGAATTGCATTCAACTTGAACTGCCTTGAGTGTGTTTCCAGGCATGACCCGAACTCATGGGCCATGGCCTTTGCCACCAACTTTAAGACTTTTGCGCAGGCTCTCATAGACCTTATCACGAGGCCAGCTGTATCCAGCTGTGCAATGTGCGTGGGTGGCCGCTAGATTTTGCTTGTGCGTAGTATCGGATCCCCGCTCCAGCCCGACTTCTGCCATCGCCATGCTGGCCATTCGCAGCCTTCCATTGCTGTCCATGTTTGCGGCCGTTGCGGCCATGGAACTGACGAAAGAAACTTGGGACGACTCGACCTCAGTGGGCTCTGGGGGCATTGTAGCACACGAGCGCGCGGTGACTCCAGGTTTTGTTGTTTTCCACTTGCCGTGACACAAGGACACAAGGAAAGACATTAGAGTTTGGGGCATATGGAGCATGATTTTTTTGGCATGCCTCGGCTTATTTTTTTTCCAGGCAAGTTGCGGCAACTGTGCTGCAGCTATATACAGTGACACCCTATGCTAGAAACAGCATGACACCCAAGCGTCCAAGGAGAAAACAGCAGGCAAGACGGTCTTCGTGAAGTTTTTCGCACCATGGTGTGGCCACTGCAAGCAGCTCAGCTGAAGTTGTAGGGGGTAGTTCTTCGCTACGGGCGACCATTGAGGTGCTTGAAAACAGTGAGTGATTATGAGTGACTTACATTTCTCAGGGTTTCGGCGACTCAAAGCCATGTGTGTAAGTTTTCGATGTTTTCGAGAATGAGGCCAAGTTGGATCTTGAACATGTGGGTGGAATGGGTCCTAGGTCTAGTTGTTGTCATTTGAATTGTGGCTTTCTTCATGAGAAGTTTGCAGGGGCATCCCAGCAACACTTCATCAAAGTTTTGCTTACCCAAATGTGAAGATTTCCCTAGCAAGGGTATCTGAACCATGCCATGAATTCTTGACTATGACGATGATGATGACGATGACTGTGACTATGACTATGGCTTCCTTGTTGTGCACCATCCCATAACTTCTATTTTCTTCATTTCCGATTGTTTATCTGCGACTTCCTGCTATACACGTGCCAAAAGAGTGCCATGCTGACTGGCTGAGGAGCATGAAGCCAGCCTGGGATAAACTCATGGAAGCATACAAAAATGATGAGTCCATCCTGGTGGCCGATGTGGATTGCATTGGCACTGGCAAGTCCAAGTGTGATGAGGTCGGCGTCAAGGGTTTTCCCACCATCAAGCAGCTTGGAAATGGATGTGGCAGAATGTTGCAGAATGGACATCATGGTGCAGGATTTTTTAAAAACTGTATAGTCCTGCGCAAGACTTTCGTCTGAGGCACGGAGACCCCAATGACTTGGAGGATTACAAAGGTGGCCGCGACTTTGATGCGTTGAAGAAGTTTACGGAGCTGACTGGGGCACGGGCCGTGGGGCATGGGGCATGGGGGGACGGGATGGTTGGGATTGTGATGGCGGGAACCTCTGGGCGCGAGCCCATGGATTTGCAAGGGGTTGGGTCTGAAGGAATTTCCCTTGAGAATCCCCATCGTCGCGGCAGGAGACTTTGGGCCCCACCTGTGGTCCCAAGAGCCAGGATCTCTGCGATCAGGACAGGGCATGTGCTGTGCTCCTGGAAAGGGGGGCTTGGGAAAAAGGATTGGAGGATAGGTTTCCAGGGGCCAGCAGATTGTGCTCAATGCCTGAAATCACCAGTGTCCATCCCAATAGCTACAGCTTTGGTGATGGGGAACAGGACAAGAAAAAGAAGCTTGAGGAGTTCATGAAGATGCCCATTGGCTACTCGGCGCCAGATTTTTTCGTCGATTTGGCCCGATTTGGCATGAGATATGGATTACACTGATCGGTGTTCCCCGGATCAACTTCCCCACATGGGCGCTCCTTTTCTCCATCCTTTCCCGTCAATTTAGGCGACTTGAAGAAGCTCATCACGGAGCAAGAGGCCCTGAGTGAAAAGGCCGAAACCGAATTGTCCGAGCTCCTCAAGAAGCTTCAAGAGCAGTATGAAACAGGGCAGAAGGCCCATGGGAGCTGTGGACGTGTTCAAGGTTTGCTTATGTTAGCTGCGAGCTTTCATGAGATGGGCGATTGTATGTGTAAATTTAATTAAATTTATGTAAATTTGTAGAATACAAGCAGTCAATACACTACCGTATTCCAAGCTGGCCCATCCTATTTTTCATTGGGCGAACCCAGCCCGTGTAAAAGCGAGGACAAAGAAAGGAAGCAGCAGGAGATCAAAGATGCAGGGCTGGGTTTGATGAAGAGCGTGCAGGCCGGTCATGGCTGCGTATGGCTGCGCCATCTGCCAAGGATGTGGGATGGGCATACTTTGCGGGAATTCTTGTGACTTCCTGCAGCTGATGTGCCTTTTTTTCCTGATGATAAGGGTCATGATGATGCCTCATGTACGGTAGATTCGGGCTATCCTGCCCGGGCAAAATAGCGAATTGCTGACAGAATCATGGCAAAGGCAACTGAGCTGTCTGGCGCGCTGGCCAGGCGTACAGGAAGACCGAGAAGAACGAGCTGTGAGCCGAAGAAAGAGGAAGCCCAATGGCTGAGAACAACCCATAGATGATCGATGATTCGATGATGTTTGGATTGGGTCGGTCCACGGAAAACCTAAGTCTCTCCGAGTCTCTCCCGCATTTTTTTTTTTGGATCCAATGCTGGGAATAGATTAGCTTTTCTTCCTGGTCGACCACAAGACACCGAACCCCCCCTTGAGCAACTGATCATTTTCCCATATTTTTCCACATCATTTGGTAACTCCTTTGTGAAAAGTGGGAGAAAGAAAGGACACAGCTGCGGGAGATCGCAAATTTTGGGCTCTGCCGAGCAGGTCATGGTGCCCAGGATGTGGGACGGGCAGATGATGTGGTTTTTTGGTAGGGCCATACGGATTTCTATGGTACTCCTAGGTGGGGGAGACTTCCTGAATTCGGTGCGTCCCATGCGGTTTGTATGTTGTTTTGGAGATTGCACTGACTTTCACTTCACGTCCTGGTGTAAGCCCAATAATTAAATATAATTAACTAGACCATCCGACCATCCTAGATGTTTTTGTGTTTTTGTGTTTTGAGATGGCAATGGAGAGAGAGAGAGAGAGAGTTTGCCATAAAAATGGGTGGCAGAAGAATTATCCCTACTGTAAATGGATGTAAATGGTAGGTAGGGGTATTATGTTCTCAAAAGGTGAATTGCTCAATCATGGCACCAGCAAAGTGAGCTCTTTCCGCGGCAGCCAGGCGCCTGGTTCAGCACCTGCACGCACGAGTGGTGAGCAGATAAAAAGGAACGTGTGGCAGATGGATTTTAGTCAGGAAGGTCACGAATGGCATGGGACTAACTGGGACATATTGGAATCTTCCGTTGAAATCAACTGACATTCCATCGTTGTCCCCACCACCATCCCAGCATATCCAGAATTGGTTCAAGGAAAGATCAGCAGGACACCCTTCTGATGCGGATAGATTCGGCGAAGTTTTCCACCAACCTCAGTTCAAGCACCTGCGCGTGCAGGAAGGTGGTAGTTGTTCAGGTGAAACGAATTGTATACTGTAAGATCTTTTGATGAATTCGAATCCTCATGGAAACATAATATTGCTGGGAAACAACTGGAATATACAATAAACACCTCGTGCATTTTTTCTTTTAACTTTAACCTTCAAGTTTTTCCCCCCAGTGGACCTAGTCCTCCCTTTGAGATGCCATGATGTTCTGCATCTTCACCATTTTGATAGCATGTCGAAGAATAGATACTGTACAGTACATAATGTACATGTCATCCACGATCCCACTTCAAATGACCATTCGTATCCGTTAGTCAGGCCCGCATTTTTATATAGATCAAACTAGCATAGGTACAGTATGGGTCTGGGTCACACTTGGGCCTCTGAAAATGGTATGGATTACAGCCAAGCAAGTCCAGCATTTGTGTGGATGCTCAGGGTTTTGCACCTTTGCCCGCTCCCATCCCCATCACAATTGTCCTTAACTACTGAAAATCAAACTCGCCCATCGCCTACAAAATTACACACCTCCCTGAATCCACAAGAATCATTCCCCCTACGCCCTACACTTTACACTTACTGTTTATACAATTTTCGAAATGCATATGGGTGCAATCGGCAGATTCACCTGACTGGTGCTGCATCTTTCAGTTAGATGATGCCTTTTCGATGTTTTTGTTTGCCACCTTAACATCCCAGTTAAAGCCTTATATTTTTCATGTTCAAACCAGAATTTCCCATGGTTAACCAATAATGATAATGGCACATTCTAGTCGGTTAGATCCCATCCCAGTAACTAGTTTGATATATCCCAATCACCCGGCAACAAGTGCAGCACGCTGCGGCCGCCAAAGCCTGTGGCCCTGATGTGGCGCCTCCTTGTGCTGCCGCTGGCGCTGGCGCTGGAGGTGTCCCACGCCGAGTGGGATGAAGCATGGCCTAAAGATTTGGTGGGTTTTCAATGTTTTTCATGCCATTTCATGCCATGAAAATCTATAATCATCCTGAAGTAGATAGATTCAATGATTTTCACACATTTCAATTTTAGTGAGGGTTTTTTGACATGTCCATATTCTATCTACCCCAGGATGACTCTATAGTTCCTCTCTCTCTCTCTATATATAATTATATATATATATATATACAGATATGCATGTTATGGGGATATGATATGATAATACATGATGTAATGTGAACACAGTGGAGTCAAAACCATTCGAAACCCATCGTTTTCCATAGATTTTGGCAAGGAACATCCATGAGCAGCAACTACTTTGAAGTGAACAGAAGGGACCCGGGGTTTTGACCCACTGGTGCCCATCATTTCCCCTGCACATTTCCAGTGCCTAACAGAGACCCACATTTGCGCCCGCGGATGTGAACCGCTTGGAACTAAGGAGATGACGCAGGGCAAGGCCGTTTTCCTGAAATTTTTCACCCCATGGTGTGGCCAGTGCAAGGACATGAAACCCGCCTGGGATGCCTTGATGGAGGACTCCGGGCTCTGGATTGGACCCAAAGGCAGCTCCAAGGAAGAACTTGCACGTGATCCTTTTTCATCCTTTTTCATCCCTTTTTCCGCGTTTTTCCTCCTCCTTCCTTCTTTTTTCAAATTCCCTTTTCATGTTTTTCAAGTTCAAGGATGTTCACCAACAATCAGTCAGTTTCTCCCCAAAGGGAATGTTATGGCATCTCATCTTTTTCCCCCTCCTCTCCCCTGGTTTTCCCAAGAAATTTGAGGGTTGCCTCCCCAGCAGGAGTTCCGGGACGATGACACAGTCCTGGTAGGTGAGGTGGACTGCGTGGGAAGTGGCAAGGCCAAGTGCAAAGAGTTGGATATCAAGGCGTATCCTCAGGTGAAGTGCCTCGGCTTGGGATCACTGAGGTCGCAATGGCAGAGCAATGGCAGAGCAATGGCAGAGCAATGGCAGAGCAATGGCAGAGCAATGGGCCCTTTTTAAAGGCGTGTCATTTTTAGGATCTGCAGCATTTTTTGGGGTATACAATTTTGACCCGTAGCCATACGAGGATTCTTGGGGTTGGTTTGGAGGGAATGTAAAGAGGTCCTTTTTTCCATAACAAATATCATCACAGAAAGAGAGAGAGAGAGAGGGAGAGAGGGAGAGGGGGAGAGAGGGAGGGAGAGACAGAGACAGACACAGAGAGGCAAAATCAGACAGATTAGAGTACGAGTATATAGGGGTTCCCCTGTGACCCTGAGATCTCTTGACGTTCCCAGGTATGGCGATCCCAACAACCTCGAGGTGGGTATGGTGTTCAGTGGGCCAACCCAAACTGGATACTGTTGAACATAAGAGGATATTTTTTATTTTAATATTAATTTAGATTTATATTTAAATATAATTATATAATTATACATATATAATATTATAATATAAAATAAAATGTAAAATAAATATTTTTTAGATAATCGGATATTATTCATTCAATATATATATATATACATATGTATAAATATTTTTTTTTATAAATATTTTTATTTTATATATTTATAATAAACATATAAACATAATATAATAAGAATAATATAGGCACAGGTCCGATGGATTCTCATATTTTTTTTTGTTGTGGGGGGGGCGATTGATGCCTAGGAATGCCAGTACTGGAGGCCGCAGCCTTTGGGTCGAGAAATCATGGGCAAAGTTGATACCCTCTGGTAAACTAACATAACTATGGAAAATCACCATTTTCAATGGGAAAATCCACTATTTCTATGGCCATTTTCAATAGCTATGTTAAATTACCAGAGGGTACTTGGGTGCTGCAGGACTACAAGGGGGGCAGAGATCTTCCCAGTCTGCAGAAATTCGCGCAGGACTCGCTACTGCTGTGTGTTGAAAAAAATCTAGGTCTAGGAATTCATGGAGTACACCCCGCCATATCAGGATACATAATCAGAATTTCCTCGAGCCAGTTGAGGGTTTGCTGCAAGCACACTTGCGTCACACTCACCTTTGCTGGAGGTTTCATTTCACTCTCCACAGCCATGGAAGGATCTGAACCCTATTTGCGGCCCTGACCGGTTGGACTGGTGCGACAACAAACGCAAGCGTCAAGTGCAGGCAGACGCAGAGATGAAATTGTTCAGTGCCCGTGTGACCGTTTACATTTGCATTTGCTTGGATCCATTACGATTTCGTTTCAGCGACCTGCTTGTCTGCGTACTTGCAACAAGTTTTCATTTATTTTCATTTGTTTCTTGAGTTCCCAGCTAGCTATCTAGTTTAGCAGGAATGGACCCCCAAATATAGCTAGGAATTAGCTAGGATAAGTTGGTGCTGATTCAACCTGTCACCTCTGTGCAGGGCTACATGGACTTGTTGCCATCTGAGTTGGACGCCAAGATCCAGGAACAAGAGCAATCCCTGGCGGCTGCCCAGCAGGAAGTGGAGGATGCGCTGCAAAAACTGCAGAAGGACTATGCCGAAGCGCGGCGGAGGAAGGCGCGATGGCTGGAAATGGAGGATGTTCATGATGTTTATGCCTACGGCAGGAAAACCGTACGTGCGTTTTGCTTCTTTTTGAGTATTGCTCTTTGTCTTGGGGTTGGGGTGGGGTGGGGTGGGGGGGCATGTTAACGTTCCTTGTACTTCGTACAGGATATATTGGGGTGGGGTGGGGTGGGGGGGCATGTTAACGTTCCTTGTACTTCGTACAGGATATATTGCGATGTTGCTAAGATCTCTGGGATCTTTTACTACGTTACATGTTGCTACGCTGCTGGTATCTCTGAGATAGTTTCCTACGTTACATGTTGCTACTCTGCTGAGATCCTTGGGTCTTTCTTACTACGTTACAGGTTGCTACGCTGCTGAGATCTCTGAGATAGTTTCCTACGTTACATGTTGCTACGCTGCTGAGGTCCTTGGGATCGTTTACTACGTGACATGTTGCTACGCTGCTGAGATCTCTGAGATAGTTTCCTACGTTACATGTTGCTACGCTGCTGAGATCCTTGGGATCGTTTCCTACGTGACATGTTGCTACGCTGCTGAGATCCTTGGGATCGTTTACTACGTGACATGTTGCTACTCTGCTGAGATCTCTGGGATCGTTTACTGCGTTACATGTTGCTACGCTGCTGAGATCCTTGGGATCGTTTACTACGTGACATGTTGCTACGCTGCTGAGATCCTTGGGATCGTTTACTACGTGACATGTTGCTACTCTGCTGAGATCTCTGGGATCGTTTACTGCGTTACATGTTGCTACGCTGCTGAGATCCTTGGGATCGTTTACTACGTTACATGTTGCTACGCTGCTGAGATCTCTGTGATCGTTTACTACGTTACAGGTTGCTACGCGTTATGAGTGCCATAATGGCAACTTGCTGTCGAAGACAGCTTCCACACTGATGGATCGCTGAGCCGACGAAGAGTGTGAAAAAAAATCTGCGCATCCACGTCTGATGCACATGATGTTTACCTGGATTTGTTAAAAATCAATAGATTTTGCATCCACTTTTTTTTAACCCAAATTCAGTTATCCAAACTGATCGGAAGAGCATTTTATATTGTAAATTACAGGTGATTGTGACTCTCCTGGAAACAACCAATCAAAACGCTCGCGCGGTTTCCCTTCCGCCGGGATGTTTATGGCAAATATACATGGATCCACCGTGAAACTTCGAGGCACCCTATTTTCAATCAAACATCGGCATTGGTTGCAGATGGGTCAGAAATTATTGATCACTCGCTTGGAGGATTAATAGCGCAATGGTGCAAAACGGCAGCAAAAACGAACCTCCGCCACGCCTAAACAGCAAGGCAGTGAAGGACAGAGATTCCACAAGGCCTCGGCCAGAAAGTCCCCAACGTCCTGTCTGAAATTTGTAGAAAAGAGCTCAAGAAGTACCGCAATACCGCAAAACTGCTGCAAAAACAAACCTGTGCCTCGCGTAAACAACAGGGCAGTGAAGGACGGGGCCGAGCTCCAGAAGTAGCGCAAACCTGCCGCAAAAACAAACCTAAACAGCAGGGCAGTGAAGGAAGGAGATGCCACAAAACCTCGAACAAAGAGTCCCTAATGTCCTAAAAGAGCCAAAAGGCATAGCGCAAAACGGCCGCATGTTGTTGTTGCTGTTGTTGTTGTTGTTGTGGTCGTGGTGGTGGTGGCGGTGGTGGTGGAACTCTTATTCCCTGGCGCGCTCCCCCCTGCTTCTGTAGGGGTCGGCGGATATCATTATGTCCCCTTGTTCATATCCATCATTATTGCCATTTTGGGGTTACCATTGGCTTCAGAAACCGCTGGGGTTTTCTTCCCAGAATCCGCCAGGAGTTCAAGGTGCAAGAGATTCGTCAGACCGGCGGCCTGGGACTCATGAAGATGGTGCAGGTCCGGGCGCAGGATCGACCCTCTGGTAATCTAACATCATCATACATCATTTAATAGAATCTAATATGGTGATTGGAAAATGACCAATGATGACCCATGTATTGATGATATATTACCTGTTAAAGATGCTCATTTACCATATGTGAAACTACCAGAGGGCATCCATATTCCGCATCCGCGCAGGCCTATCGAAGTCGGAAGAGCTGATCTGCTGTCAGCGCGGCAAGAGATTAGCAGAAAAAGGGTGGTCCGCCGAGGGGTAGCCAGAATGATTGAAAAGGACGGCATCATCATCATATCATAACAATTGTGGTGGTGGTGGTGGTGATGATGATAATGATGATGATGATAATCATCATCGCCATCACTATCATCAAAATTCTGGGGAACAACATGGGGTGATTTTTCTATCCATGTGGTGACCTGCTACAGATCTGATCTTTACGCGGCTTGGGCGGGGTTGACACAGCTGTTCCAAATTGGCAACGGTGACTAGTGATAAGTCGCCTAGGTGGATTCCCCATGATTTTCCATGATTTTCCCCCACATATCGTGTAGAACTGGATTATAACTACCCAGCTATTGATTGGGTTGGTCCCTCCAAGCCGTTTGAAGCCGGCGGTGCAGGCGCTCAAAATTGTGAGGGGCCTCAGCCTTGAGGGGTTTAAGACCCCTTACCTGCTGGAAGGCTGGAAGATCGATTTCATGCTTAAAATCATCATCTCCTGATCCGAAATGATCCGAAATGATCCGAATGGTTCCGAAATGGATCCGAATGGATGACGGTGAATCATTTGCACCAACACATTCATCAGGAAGAGCGCTTATTCGACTATTGTTGCACGCGAAATGTCGATGAATTCCAACCGATTTGATTCGCAAAACCCTGAATTTGCCCAGCCTGGCCGCCTGGCCCCGAGGTGAGACAGCGAAGGGCCAAGAGAGCAGGCGAACGTCGTGCTGCACGAGTGTCTTGGTTCGTTGCCTCTGGGGGTTGGCGGATTGAGTGTGGTTGAGCCTGGGCAGCCTGAGGCTCAACCGGCTTTCGGAACTTTTCAGGAGCTTTTCCCTTAAACCTGGATATCCGAGGGCCTCTTCGAAGCTGTGGGCCCGCCACCCAAGGCTGAAAAGGCTGAAAGCGCTGAAAGCCAGCAGCTTGAACCAGCAGGTGCCGGGCAAGGTCTCTGAGATATATCTTGCCTTGGTGTGTTTACATGGGTGCTTGTGCATGATTTTGCCATGTTGAACAGCTGATTTGTCGATTGGGGCTGAGCCTCCCTGCACGTTGGAATGTTTAGTCTTCACCAAGATTCTAGATTCAAGAAGATGAGCACGAATGGGTCCTCAACGCCTGAAAAATGAGCATGTCAAAACCGTGCTTCTGAAGGGGAGAAACAGGAGATACAGGAGACTCAAAACGTGAGACAATTGTCGTGTATGTATGAATATGTATGAATGTATGCATTATTATAAATAAAACACGAAGAAATATATAAATAGATATATAAATAAATGCATACGTACCATACATTACATTACATTACATTGCATTGCATTGCATTGCATTACATTACATTACATTACAGACAGACACACAGACAGACACACAGACAGACAGACAGACACACACACACATATATATAATATACGTACACACACACATATATATATATAAACAGATATATATGCATCGTATATTTTACATAAAGTGCGCGTAATTTCGTGCCTTTCCATTTTTCACAACTTTGCCACCCATGCTGAACACTTCTTAAAGCCAAGCACCCAACACATTCAAAACACGATGGGCGCGGGAAGGACAAGTGCCAAAGTACCTCCAGCTCTCGTGCATTTTGAAGCCAAGCTCTGCGCAGGCGGGTGGACACGAACTGTTGTTAAAACATGTCAGAGTCAGAACAGTTCTAGTCTAGAGTCTAGATACAATTGTATACAATTTGTGTATATTTCTATGAGCTGGATGATGTCAAGTGCCTTACATTGCCTTACACCTAGATTTTTGGCATTTTGTTTGGACAAAACGCATGGATTAACACCGCACTTCATCAAAAGTGGGCATGTTTTAGCTGGGGATCAACTCAGCAGCAGATTGTGCTGAGGCCCCTGTCCCACCCAAGCGGCCGCGGCCGCGGCCACGGAAAGAGCCGCGATCTTTGCCCTTGTCCTGGTTGGAGGTGACACCCCTGGAACCAATGGCTTTATCTGCTTTATCCAAGGGTACATGATCAAATTTAGCCCTGAAGTTCTAAGTTCCATGTGCAACTCCAGAAAGAATTGACAACATAGTGGTAAATGACTGTTCCATCTTTTTGGGGGCTACCGGCTATAAATTTCTTGTTTAAGATTATTCTTTGTTTTCCGAATGGGAACTCCGCGATTTGGGAATCCCTATGAATATTTTTACTTTCTTGGGGTTCCGGCTATGTGAATCGATATTTAGTTCATCCATAGAATGGTAAGTATAATGGGAGGAAACTGCATATCGATTCAGATCCATAAATGGTAGTGAATCAATGTAAAAACCTAATAACACGCAGAACCAGTACCATATTGGCGTTCAAAAGACACTAAATACATCTAAATACATCTAAATACGTACCACTAAACTATGCTACTAAGTGCCATTAAGTGCCATATTATTCATAGATAAACCATGATAAACCATCTATGACCTACATTCAGTAGCCATTTTTTCTAGGCCGTTGCCACGTGGTACCACTGTTTCCATTTGCCCGTATTGCTGCCGCGGCCAGCTCCGCGACACGCTGGGCCTCACGGTGGTGGCGAGTTTGCAGCCATTGCTGCTGAAGCTGTCCAGCGGGGAGCATCGCTTACCCACAGGAGCAGCTCGCTGTTTCCCATGGCAACCCTATCAGATAGGGGAATAAGCTCCTATTATGATATAAAATAGTGGCAGTTTTTTTTTTTGGGGGACTTCCTATATGTATATATATATATGATTGCATGAATCAATTTATGTGATTGTTATTATTACTACTGTTGTTGCTTTTCTTTTGAGTTGGTTTTGTTATTAGTTTAAATTATGTATCTATTTTGTATCATTTGTTCACATGACACCATTTATGGGCCCATGGACGCGCCATTGTTGAGCCATACTCTGTCAGGTTGTGGGGTTTGAACAGGTGGTGAACACAACTGATGGTCGGTGGTTTGCATTCCTGGGATTCCCTTCTGAAAGGGATTGTCACTTTTGAACAACTCCAGAATTCGCAGAAACCAAAACCACCACTTGACCTCTGGCTGAGCTGCAAGAGGACTTATTTCGGCTAAGCTTACCGAACCTTTCACTTTGAGTAGGACCAGGGTTGAAGCTATTTGAAGCCAAAAAAAAGCCGTAGATTCGCCGTAGATCTTGTCTCAATCCTCCAAGGTATGGCTGGTGCTTGATCCCAGCACGGCACAGAAGCTCCCCCGGAGCCTGGAACCTGAGGCTCGAAGCTATGGGGTTTGGGGTTGAGATGGAGCCATGCTGTGTACCCTCTGGTAAACTAACATAACTATGGAAAATCACCATTTTTAATGGGAAAACTCACTATAAATCACAATTTTCAATAGCTATGTTAAATTACCAGAGGGTACCCTTTGATTTTCGAAGCTGACAATGGTGTTCCATCTCCATGATTTTCCGAGCTGTGTGATAGATTTTGATAGGGGATTTCTGAAAAGTGTGATTTCTATCTTCAAATTCTGAAGTAAGCAGTGGGAATCCCTATTGATGATTTTTCCATTGAAAGAAGGCAGGCGTATTTCGAGCCATTCGCAGGACGTGGGTGATTTGCCGTTGGGCACCCGGCCCTGCAACAGCAAGGTGCAGTGGATGGGCTGACAGGAATTGGCTGAGATATTACCATGGAATACCATGGAATAACGACTTTTCATTCCTTCAAAATAGTTATTCCATGGTATTAAACAGGGAATATGGCTGAGATATGATAGGAATACCTAATAAGGCCCCAAAATATTCAACACGCCGTGGGTAAGCCGTGGGTGTGAGTCCTAGGATTTACACAGGGACTTGGGGACATTTTGGGACCATGGAATGGGGTGGAGATTGGGATGGGGTCAGTATCGGAAGTTTCATACCATTCCATATACCCTCTGGTAATTTAACATAGCTATGGAAAATCACCATTTTTAATGGGAAAATCCACTATAAATGGCCATTTTCAATAGCTACGTTAAATTACCAGAGGGTAGTTCTTCCATTGATAAGGAAGAATCATCGGAACATCATGGCTTCAAAAAAAAACTAAAAATCCTGGCCAGGATGATTTTTCGGCCATGAAAAACATCACTGGCTGCCATACCTAATCTCTTCACATCATGGCATACCTAGCGAGCAAAAACGTGACTTGGAGCCAGGCCTGGGTTGCGGAGAAATCGGCCTGGGTTGCTCAGTTACCCTGTTTTTGGCTGTAAGGGTCACCTCGCCACCTTGACCAGCTGGGTTCGACTCAGTCGCATCTCCAGGTGAGTCGTTTTTCACACTGAAAACTTAGAAGAAACCTGGCCATCTATTTTTTTTGGATGACCACCTAAACCCTGAACATCCATGAAACAAGCATTCATAACCATGGTTCCGCGGAACTTTTTCTTTTGAGATGGCACCGATATCAGTTCCACCTGGCAGAGCCATGGCAGATCCATGGCATCCAGGATGAATTATGCCTTCACCAGGACATGACGATAGATTCGGATAGATATCGATGGATGTTGTTTGGACATCCCAATATCACCGTATTTCAATGTATTTCACATTGATATCACATAGGTGAGTTCTCACAGTGCAGCCAGATGTCCGCGGATGTGGGGTGAAACGCTACATGACATGGTGGCACCAATAGCAATTTACAAATTTACACCCCAGGAATTTGATAATGAATCATTCAGTCTTCGATTTTCTCTTAAAACTTTGACAGATCGGCGCCAACTTCTAGTAAACCCTCTGAAGTTTCTCATGCTTTTACCAATTTTCACCAATTTTTCCCTCTCAGGTGCCTTTGTTGCAGCTGTTGGAGGAGGAGCAGCTTACCTGGAGCGCTGCTGAGGCCTTTTCCGGATGCATAGCGCTGGGTTGGTAGTGGTGATTTCATGGTGATTTCATGGGGTATCTATTCATCAGATAGCCATTAAATAGCCATTATATAAATCACAATGAACTATGATTATTTTATTGTAGCAATTCACGGTTGTTACAATAGATGGTGATCATTTGATCATAATGACTGGATCAAATAGCAACAATACGATTGGATATCCCGGGTGCTAGTAATTTGATATATTTGCAATGTGCTAATAAATAAATACATACATAAATCAAATAAATATATATATATATATAAATATAAATATATAAATAAACACATAAATAAAATTCAATATATTCATATATATATATATTATATAAATAAAGTTAAATAAATAACTAACCTAAATAAATATAATATATACATATATAAATGAATATATATATATATGCATGCTCAGCAAATACTGCGGTTGTCTTGAGGGGCCCCAGGGGCGTGAGAGGAAACTAATAGTGAAAAGAGTGCCAATATTATTTTCCAGGGATGCGGGTTTGACGGAGGTTTTCTGAACCATCCATGAAACGGGGACAAGACACAGCAGGATTTTCTTGACTACCAACGATGGTGATTGGAAACAAACAAGCAGGAGCATTGTTTATTTATATATATATAAACCACCGATAATTGTGGACATGTGTTTAAGCAACAAACATGGGAACTGTAAGATATTTTAATTTCACCCATGAATTGGATTGTTGATCGACACATACACTAGGATTCACATTAGAGAAACCTTCCCAAGTGACTGGTTTGATGGTTGCATTTTGTTGGATTTCAATTGGGGCTTCACCATCAACGGTTCACCGCTTCACCATGGTTCACCTGTTTGGATCTGTATTTCAGCTGTTGGGATCACCATCGTGAGAAAGCAGCAAAAAAAGCGAGATGTTACCCGCTGGGAATCAAACAAGGCGAGGAAAATTCCATTTTTTTTTTGCTATTTTATAGCTATTTTCGCATTACAAAACATCTATTTAGCCGGGGCTTTTCCGGCTAGTCATGATTACCTACAGTTTCGGCCAAGCTCCAGGCAAACTTTGCCAAATGTGCGCGGGGCGCTTGTTTTTTAGCCTTGAAGCATGCAGGCTTTGTCCTCAAGGCGCGGATACTGAAATATAATGACAGGAATCATATAGACATATATACATGCATGCAATCATTACTTTGGGATGGGTCATGCCATCTTTGATTTTCCCCTGCTGCTTTGTGAAAGCCAGGGTGCGGGAGGGTTTCGATCCATAGCCAGTTGGTGTTGAGGCGCTGGCAACAAAGGAGTGTATCCAAGCCCAGCAGGAGCCGATGGTTTTCAGTGGAGGGGTCAAGGGCGGTGCCGGTGATCAGCGTGATCAACGTGCCTTCATCGAGACCCGTTGTGCCCCAGCAGAACTTTTTGCTGGGCATTTCCATCACGTTTGTCAATGTCACACAGCTCGAAAAAAAAGTCAACCTTACAAACATATTAACACTCAAGCAACCAGCTGCCACAGAAAAGAACAAACAAACCAGGCAAGACAGGCAAGTGGCTGGTGGCTGGTGACATGGTGATGGATGTGGTGAATGTATCGAGCCAAGATGATGCTCACGAAGAACAGCTGACATTGGAGGCAGATGATTTGTTGATTCTTGGGATCGCTTCCGCCTTTTGTAACCACCGGAGCAACAAAGAATATCAATATCTTGGAAGAACACCTGAACTTCAGCCAAACAAAAAGATCATCATAGATCATCAAAGGTATAGCCAAAGCAGCTATGCCACCAGCCATGCACCTTTGCGCACCTTCCCTTCCTGCCACGCCCCACATGTGCCGTGTTTGGCACCATCCTGGGCTGCGTCGGTTGGGACCTTCCAAGCGTTCCAAGCTGCGGGCGGAGACTGGTGGCCGCGTGGCGGGGCCCAGGAGCCGAGGACGTGGCGCCAACCCCATGGACTGGACGAAGGAGAGTCGCCTGGCGCGCTGGCGCCGCCGCGCGGCAGCCACAGGGCTGGCGCTGCTGGTGTTGCTGGGGGCCGTGGGGGGAACGATGTCAGGGCACAAGGCCAAGATGCTGCAGAATCGGATGGAATCGGGGCAGATTGAATATGTGTCCAGGCGGAAGATCCCCCAGGCTTTGTTTGGCTTGCTTGTTGGTCCTTGTTTGTTTGTTAGGTTATTGTTCGTTTCTTTGTTCATTATTAAATGTGGCACGGCCTGTTGTTGGTATTGTTCCCCAAATAGTGTGTCCACACTGAGGGGTTCTTACGGCAGGTGTTAAGGCCCGGTGTTCAATCGAGGGGGTATTGGAAGCGTCCGGCATTTTCCCCGTAAATTTCCATCCAAAATGGCTCTTGTGAAATGTCCTCAACATCCTCCCTCCTCAACTTCATCATCTTCCTCCTCCTCAACATAGACATCATCATCTTCCTCTCATCCTCATCCTCATCCTCATCCTCCTCTTCCTCCTCCTCCTCCTCACCACCACCACCACCACCACCATCATCATCATCATCATCATCATCACCATCACCACCACCACCACCACCACCATCATCATCATCATCATCATCATCATCATCACCGTCACCGTCAGCATCATCATCATCACCACCACCATCACCATCACCATCACCATCACCATCACCATCACCATCACCATCACCATCATCATCATCATCATCATCAACAACATTACCATCATCATCAACATTAAAACAAATCCATGATCTTTTTGCTCCCCCCACGCTGTTTGGGGTCTCTTGCCGGGATAATTATATTTTTGGAGGGGCTTCATATTTTTTTACCCTCCCCATGTTTGTAGGGTGGCTCTCTCCCCTAGACATGCCACCCCCTGTCTTGGGCGGGCTGAAAATGGAACCGTTTTCCCAGGTCTACAAAAGCGACACGGCCTTCAGACAAGCTGAGCGCATGGTGAGGTCGCAAGGGGCAACCATCTTGAACCATCGCTTGTCCTCACCCAGTGAGGTACCTTCTCCCTGGGCCAGCAGAAGTTGGGTTTCAGAGACTGGGCTTACTAGCTGGTGGGTTGGTGGTTTCAAAGGAATTTTCAATGTTCCCTCAAATTTTGGCTGATGATCGCACTTGATTTTCTTTTGGGATATTTTGAAATCTTTTTGGGTCTCTTGGGATGATGGGTTGAAGCCACCGAATAGTTTCTTGTTGATGCAAATGCTTATATCATTTGCTTGTCATATTTGGTGCTAGCTACTAGGTTTGGAAACCAACAAGGCCAGGTGGCTGAAAACTGACAGATTGGCATATATCCGAAGAACACGTACAGTATTCCTTGCACAAACGCTTTGGAGTGACCTTTCATTGCATGATTGCCTGGCTACTATAGATTTGCTCCCAAGAGAAAACCGTTCTCAACTTGACAAGTCAAACCTGCAACTTGAAGAGAAAAGTATGGACAAGTGCCTTATGATTGCAAGAACAGTATTCAACAACAATGACTGGGCCACTGGGCATTTGTGAACTCTTAGCCGCCATAGGAACTTCTAAGTTTCTGGTACTGAACCACACATCATCCCCGACCACTTTGGCTGCATATTCTTGCCATGCCAGGATACTGCAGGTGTATTGAGCCCAACAGCAATAAGGCAAATCAATGCACTGGCCACTGACATTCAACGGAAGACTCTCGGCAGCGTCTTGCAACAGGTTTTTGAGTCTACCTATTACGTTGAACAAAACAGACACAGACTCCGCCAAATAGGGGCTTGGAAGCTTAGCTTCCACCAAAAATGGCAATTTTCACGGTATCTAGATGTATCTAGCATCTATATTTGCATTCTTTTGTTCCCCTAAGATTTTTGATGGACTTCCCCCACCTTCCAGAACTTCCAGCCTCCAGAGGACCGGTGCCGAGGTGGTGGTGGTGACCCTCCCCGGCGTTCGAGGGGCCGAGAAGGACCGGCGCGAGGTGAAGCGCTTCGCCACGCGACTCTTCAACTCCTGGGGCCTCGGGGATCGACGGAAAAACAACGGCGTGCTGCTGCTGGTCTCCACCGGGGATCGCCAGGTGGAAGTGGAGATTGGAAGAGGCTTGAATCAGGTGGGCTATGGCGGCTATGGTGAAAGATGGTGAAAGGAGGCCCCCAAAGGAGATGCTGAGTTTTGGGGGTATCGTATGTGATTAGATGTAATCAGTACATATTTCGGGCATTTCGTCAGCATCTTTCAGTTTTGCTCCACTTTTGCAGGTTGTCAATTTCTGGCTCTAGGGCAAACCGTTGGAAGCTCCGAAAAAAGGTCGAAATTTGAACACAGAAATTTAGATCATGTTCCATGTTGGAGTTGAATCATGTCCAGGTCTTCAATCGTGAGGAATGGCTGCAACATATGATCCGTGGGAGAATGATGCTGGGTGGTGCGAGCAGGAATTTTGTTTGCCTTCTGAGCTCCAGAGTCTTTTCGGGTTCGCAGATTGGAGTTTCTGTGTTTTTCAATTCTGCGATTCTGTACGATATTTTTTTTTGCCATGGTGCATAACCAAAAATCATGCTCGGTGTGACCCATCCGTCAAGAGTTTTCACACCACCAAGGACACCATGCCTCCGCCAAAATCGCTACAGCGAGGGTATCACCGAAGGAGTTGCGGCGTGCTGCCAGAAGCTTTCAGAAAGTGACAGGCACGGGTCAGAAATGTATCCTTTGTGCTCCAAAAAACTCTTCTGAAGTGTTTGGAGACAAAGATGGGTTCCAAATATATCTCAGAAGGCTTTTGATCCTTAGGACTTAGGACCATAAGGACACAACCCAGAATTCGCAAGAGGCTTTTGAACAGGGCCAGTGGCTTGCAACGGAAGCCAAGCCTTTGCAAAGTGCTTGTTGTCGTGGTGCTTTCTTACCTACCAAGTGGCCGCAGTGGCTGAACACTTACTGAAATAGTGAATTCAGGACCATCTCATTGCTGGGTTTATCATTGTTTATCCATATCCTCATTGGATCTTTCTGGCGGGTCCCAAGCTATCCCCAAAGACCTGCATCATTTCACATTATCTATCATTCTCTCCTTTCATTTTTTGTTTTTTGGGTGCAATTGTGGCTCCACCTTTGGCTACCCCACCATTTCTGAAAGTTTGAACGAGTTTGAACGTCAAATCATTTCCCTTTCACCCCTAAACCATCCTGAACCAAATATGATATCCATCCATGCTAAAGTGCTTGAAAGAAAGTTTGGATCAGCAGGGCATCTTAGACTTCCCCTTCATTCCTATTTTACATGTCATTTAGACGCAGAATTACGAATTGCGGCCCGTCTTCACATGAAAACCATTGAGAAGACTATATGGAAAATAGATATTGCGTGATATCGTCAACATGGTCAAGACACGTCAAGACCATCCGAAAAAAGATGCTTACCATTGTTTCTCTGCAAGGGAAGTCTCCTCGCCCCAAAGTTGGCGTCACCGTGCCACGGCGCTGTGGACCGGTAGCGCGTTGAGCACTTTGGGCCTCGCCGCGTTGCTGGGCCACGGCCGTGCGCGGCGCCCCCCGCGCTGCGGCTGTGGGGCGCGGATGGGGCGGCTGCGGCCGGCAGAAATGCAGGAATTGGAGGAGGGGCAGCAGGCGGCAACTTGGTGGCAACACAAAGGGTAACCCTTTGGTAAGCAAACATGGCAATCGAAGATCCTATATCAGTGGGGGTTTGATGGGAAAATCATCGAACTAAAATCATCGAGTTGATTAACAAGGGATTTTCCATTGGGATGTTTATTTACGAGATGGTACCACCAGCAAAATGGTGATGATAACCAGAAATAAATGGGAAACAATTGGGATATTGCGGATAGATAATAAAAACAGATACAGACAGTGTGATGCGTGTTCCTTTCATGCCATGGCTTCTATGCACAATAAACTGTGCTCGTGCTTGGGATTTGCCCACCGGTTGGCGAAGAAGAACCATGTAGATCCAGAAGTGTGCGGCTACCAACAGACTGCATTGTTTACCCTGACGGAAGGTCAGCGCAGAGATTCAACAAAGGTGCTGGAAAGGAGAATAATATGCCTTGCTGAAAGCTTAGGTATCCAGAGTGCTCCTTCTGGTGGGACCTGCCTTGAGGAACCTTCGCCACATCTCTGACCTTTCTTTTCTTTTAAATTGGCGACAATGAGATGGCAGTTTCAAGGGGGCCTTGCTGCCCTGAAGGGAAGCTACGAAGCTACACCGCCAGTACGTGGCAATGGCGGACGCACTCCAACGCGCAGCCAAGGAAACTGCAGCTAGCAAGCAAATTGGCCCCAATCGCTGACAGCTCATATTGCAGAACTGGTGCGGCAAAACGAATTATATAGTAGATCCAATTTACCCAGCTGATGGCCTTTTAGATGGTGCAGTTTCAGAATGTCGCAGGTCTGTATAGCAGCGAGCCGCTTGAATCCCACCAGTCAGGATTTGCCCGGGCCAATTGAAACGGCTGGCTCGTGCGTTGCACGTCTTTGATCTTCATACCTATGTCCAGTTTATGCCTCAATTTGTGGCTGCGTTTTGGCTTGGCCACAAGCTCGCCTTCAGCCTGACGCTGAACCTTCGGGATGGCGATGGAGAGAGAGAGAGAGAGACAGAGAGACAGAGAGACAGAGAGGCAGTGTGATGCGATTTCATATATATATATAAAATAATTACGCGAATCATATTGTAGGGATGAGCGCCCATGAGCACCAGCAAAGCACCAGGACCAGCAAAGAACCAGCAAAGCACCAGCTATTTTGATGTGAAACTCCGGGGTACAAGGGTTTGATTCATATGGTCAGTTGGGTTTGGTGGACAATTTGGGACGGAGAATCGTTTGTTGGTCGGTTTCAAGGGGTTTGGAATTAATTTCCTTCCTAGCAGTCCTAGCCTTCAGCTTTTGGAGCGAGGGAATCATGGTGGGTTTTCTTCCATATGAACAACACGGAGGTGCATGTTGTAGGTGAATGGCCACAGATCGATGGACCCAAGGAAATGCAGCTGGGCTCGGTGAAACACATCCTGTGCCTTGGCTGTGATGTGCTGGGTGGGTTCTGAAGTTTTCAGAGTAGTTGTGCCAAGGGCATCACAGTCCACTAGATTTGCTGCAAGGCGCCCCAACAGCATCCGAAGGTGCTAAACACATGCAAGCCCAATCAGTTGTAAGATGTTGTAAGGTGTTTCAGCCAGGATCTTTGCCCAAAACTTTCGTACATGATCAATCTTTCCATCATTTTTTATCATTTTTTCCCATTCACCATTGTCGTGGATTGAATGAAGGTATACACTTTTGCACTGGACATCCCCCAAAAAGATTCACGTAGTGCCCAGATGTGCCCAAGGGTTGGAACACGGTGGAACACGTTGAAATCCCGAGACAGCCCCCTCACACTGCAGCCAGGTGCGGCTGTGGTCGTCCTGGCTGTCAGAAACTTTGGGCCTCACCAGGCGGAAACCGGTGTGCATGTATGACATGTGCTTATGATTGTTTATGGTTTTTTGCACATGCCCACCGGCATACAGGCATACAAACATACAAACATACATGCATACATACAGACATACATGCATACATACAGACATACATACATACAGACATACATGCATACATACATACCTACGTACGTACGTACATACATACATACATACGTACGTACGTACATACATACATACATACATACATACACACATACACACATACACACATACACACATACATACATACATACATACATACACACATACAGACATACAGACATACAGACATACAGGCATACAGACATACAGACATACAGACATACAGACATACAGGCATACAGGCATACGGACATACGGACATACGGACATACAGACATACAGACGGACAGACAAACGGACAGGCATGCAGACATACAGGCATACAAACAGACAGAAATACAGACATACAGACATACAGACATACAGGCATACAGGCATACAGACATATGGACATACGGACATACAGACATACAGACGGACAGACAAACGGACAGGCATGCAGACATACAGGCATACAAACAGACAGAAATACAGACATACTGACATACACACAGGCATACATACATACGAACATACACACAGACAGACAGACATACAAACATACAGACAGACAGGCAGACAGACGTACAGGCCTACAGGCATGCGAACACACAGAAATACAGACATACAGACATACAGACAGACATACGGACAGACATACAGACAGACAGACAGACATACGGACAGACATACATACATACAATTTATATTATATATGAACACAACATATTGAAATAAACATCATTAACATGTATATATAATATAAAAAAAAACCACTTATCAAAGCACATGCGCACTTGTTATACATAAATAAAAACGTACAATATACATAACATATATTATATGTAATATATTTTTATATAGTATATAAACACCACAATTTTTGTATAATATATAAATAAAATGAAACATAGAAATATTTATATATATATACATTAAAACATATAGTAAATATAATATACATTACAACTATTTTATGCATAATATTATTTGATATATATTGTTTAAAATAGATATTTTATATATACTATTGACTAAATAAAATACTTTTATATCATATATAATGTATAAAATGTATATAATTATATAATGTATTTATCATATAGACAATATTAATATATATATATGTATACACTATTTAATAATATTATATATATATTATATAATGCATTTAATATATATACATTATATAAATATATATATAATGAAAAAGATAAAAAATAATGTGTTTTATTAAATTCATATATATATATATGTATATATATATATATGAAATATTTCATATATCTAATACATGTTTTTAAAATGTATATAAAATATTGTATTTATATTAATATAGAGTGCATTTTGTATATGATATATATAGTTTGTATCTGGATATATATATTTAAACAGATATAATTAGAATAATATATATATATATAAACATTTAATATCATATATTTGATGATTTTTTTATTTCAATGTATTCAATCAACATATTTATTTTTTTGTAACATAACATAATATCACATAATATCACATCATACAATATAATGTAATAGATCATAAAATTTGATAATGTTTAAGAAAATGTAATCTCAAATAAAATAAAATGTAATATAGCACATCATAATTTAAGATAAATTAACAATAGATATCTTGATGTAGACATGTGATATGTATACAGATGACTGTGTATTTTCCTAGGCTATACCACCTGGTCAAGAAAATTGGGATGGCGATCAGCTAGATCATGTGTTTTGGCCACTCCACCTGGACATGCATCGCTTTACCAGTTTTGTATGATATATAAGACTACGGCCAGCAAATGTCAGCACGGACCGTAGGCTGTAGAAGAATTGCAGGAACCCTTGCGATGACATACCTCAGATGCTTGACTCCCAATCCACACGCTTAAATACCTAAGACCATTAGGACCTAAAAATACCAATGAAATATATAATGATATATAATGATATACATAGTTTAATGATATATACGTATATATATATATCTACAATTTAGAATGACATGTTGGTACGACATATTTATATATAAATATAAATATAAATATATATATATATAACACATTATTGATGTCCTTTTGACGTGATTATCTCCGGTGGTGCGCTCTCTGCAGGAGTTCGCACCTTTGACGGCCCACAGCGGCTGGGTGGCGCCGTGCGTCGCAGCCGGGAGGTGATCCTGACACCGTCAGAGGTGCAGGAAGCCGCACGCGACAGGCGAAACGTCACAAAAAGCGGGGTGTTTGTCGAGGTTTGTTTATATTGGGAACCATCTTGTTATATAGGGGTATGGTATGTAGTATTGTATTATTTGGTATATGGTATGTGGTATGTGGTATATGGACGTATATGGTATATGGTAATGTCAACCCTGGATTAATAAACCCCTAGGCTGTTTAATTGGGAAGGTACCATTTAAGTATCAAATCATGACTATTGGGGGAATACCCCCTAATTAATAAACCATGGTTTATTAATCCGGGGTTGACATTATATGGTATATGGATGTATTATGGTATATGGATGTGTTATGGTATATGGATGTATATGGTACTGTATATGGTATGGTTTTTTCAAATACCATACAAAAAAGTGGCAACATTGGATATATTTATAAATGATTGTAAATGGAGTTCCTACGTCCACATGCCTCAAATCGGATTGGGATGGCACATTTTTAAGACATACCGGTGACATGATCAAACATGCGCAAATGGGCTGGAGTCGTTCTTCGCCACTGGTTGTGCCTGTTTATTTTGAGCAAAAACATGCAACACCCCGCCTGGGTGTTATTGTTTGTGTCAAGTTATACTGGAGTGGCTAGATTTTTTAATGGCAAGATCATTCCTTGCGATGAAAACTTGGGATATGAGAGCAGTGCATGGCTCTCGCAGGAGCATCGGATTGTTAAGGTCTGTTTGAAGGCGGCCACTTCCAGGAATCCTCCAAACAGACCCTGGTCAAGGATCCTACTATTTAGTTGCTCCAATCAGCTAGAGCCATTTAGAGCCTTTTTTCCCCGTGTGATTGACGCCAACATATTTTTGAACGCATCCGTTTTAAGGTAACTTCCACTTTGGGTCGCACGTTTCACGACCTTCATCCTCTTAGCAGCTGGGTTTGTCTGAGCGTAGAGCATCAAAAAATCCACTGGTTTATCATGGTTTATCATCATCCCTTTCAAATGGTCAGGCATATTTTTTTCGGGGTATCCAACCCATTCCTCCAACTGCAACTGTTGGGTGGGTTACCCGAGTTACCCGTGATATTCCCATAAAATAGTTGGTTACCCCATGAAATCTCCATTAACTCCCATTAAATACCCATAAAAAACACCATGAATTTCGGCACAGGAAGGCTTTGGGCATCCTCTCGGAGTTGCAGCTCTTCTCTCGCTTCCAGGCGTGTCAAGCCTGCGGCTACCGAACCGCCATGACCCGCACTACCCTGCTGCAGCCGCCCACACAGTGGAGTACTGGCTACCGGGAGCGCTGCACGGAGTGCTTCTTCTGCCTGGCAGAATTCACCGATTGGGAGATGGGTGGGTGGTTGTTTTCAAGGATTTTGGTGATTAATTATTTGTTTTTATTTATTGTTTTTTATTCCCCAACAGCGTACGCTAATGGGGTCTTCAGCCCGGAATAGCTCCGGTGTGCACTGGTGCAGGTGTTGGGTCAGGTTCAACGAGGTTCCGGAGAAGGTTCCGGAGGTTCCGGAGAAGGTCTGTGTGGCTTTGGCAGAGCCAGGTCAGGTTCAACAGGGTTCCGGAAAAGGCCTTGGTGCAGAGCCAGGTCAGGTTCTCCAGGAAGCCTTGGTGCAAAGCCAAGTCAAGTTCAACGGGGTTCCGGAGAAGGTTCCGGAGAAGGTCGGGGAGGCTTTGGTGCAGAGCCAGGTCAGGTTCAACAGGGTTCCGAAGAAGGTTCCGGAGAAGGTCTGGGAGGCTTTGGTGCAGAGCCAGGTCAGGTTCAACAGGGTTCCGGAGGTGAAGGTGTGGGAGGCTTTGGTGCAGAGCCAGGTCAGGTTCAACAGGGTTCTGGAGAAGGCTCCAGAAAAGGTTCCGAAGCAGGCTCCGAGAGGTTTTGGAGCAAAGCCAGGTTAAATTCAACAGGGTTCCGGATAAGGTTCCGGAGAAGGTCTGGGAGGCTTTGGTGCAGAGCCAGGTCAGGTTCAACAGGGTTTCGGAGAAGGTTTGGGAGGCAGAGCCAGGTCAGGTTCAACAGGGTTCCGGAGAAGGTTCCGGAGAAGGTTCCGGAGAAGGTTCGAGGAAACCTTGGTGCACAGCCAAGTCAGGTTCGACGGGTTCCGGAGAAGGTTGCAGAAGCCAAGCCGGGTCAGCGGTCAGCTTCATTTAATTCTCGGAAAATCAGCTGAGTTTCCAGCGTTTGGCTTCCCAGCACGCTTCAGAAAGATTTGTAAAAATAAAACGTTGCGGCTGTTGGGGATGCCACCGAAGCTTATTTTTATATGTTTTTAGTGTTTATGATTTTCTGTCACACGCTAGTTTTTATTGGAGAATAGGCGGAATAGGGAATATTTGGGATGATGATCCTAATCGCAACTGTTTTCACCCCATGAAGTGGCGAGCGGTGTCAGATATGTTTGAACCAATGTTTGACTATTAGACAGTGAAGCATGCTTTAGCAGCTACGCCCACAGAGAGAGAGAGAGAGACATGCCCTACAGCAAGAACGTATTTTTGGTTAATCACCATCAAATAGGGTAGGGAAATATGATATCATCAAAAATGCACAACTGGTTGGTGATGTTGGTGGTTACTTCTCTATTCCTGTTAAACACGGCAATGATCATAACTACAATGACTCTAGTTTTGGGGAAGGGGGTGGCTCACCAGATCCCAGCAGGAGATTTTGCCAATGATTCCACAGCCTCGCAGCTCCAGTGACGGCTTTGGTGGTGACTCCTCTGGTGGTGGAAGTGGTGATGACTTTTAGTGCCACGCAGTGATCAGTAAGGATTAGTGTGGGCAGTGGTTGCCGAAAGTTGGCTGCTGAGCTGCTTCATATAGGATTCCACCAAGCCCCCCCCAAAATAAGCCCTTACAATATCTTACAATGGTGGTTGTTGGTTTAGAAACCCTTTTTACAAGCCCTTATTGTTGGGGGATCACCTTGTCACCTTCCGGGTTGGTTGAATCCCGATAATTGTGCATAGTGGCTGGAGCGCCAGTGAACACGGCGATCGGGCGACGGACTCCTTGGCGATGATGCTGATGCCTTCCCCTAGGATAAAATAACCCTCTGGTTATTTAACATAGGTATTGTATCGATGATCCATATTTTTAGATGCTTTATGATGAGTTGCTTATACAAAAAAGTGCAGTTCCATAGCCACGTTAAATCAGCAGAGGGTAAGTTCCCCCGCAGAAAACCAGAGGGTTTGGTGATGGGATTCTTCGGTGGCTCACATTGTGCATCCCTTGGGTTCGTGCTGCTTAAGCCGGAGAAGTAGAACATCTCGTATGTTCAGATATTTCCTGCACTAATTTTATCTGATTTTTCTGGGCATCTGGTGATTTCAGACATTTAAGTGTGAGTTTCACAGTTTCAGACACCCTGGGAAGTTCCATTGTTATGTTGGTTTCGATCGCGTTTGGCTTGTGGTTTTAGCCATTGGCTTTGCTGCCTGGGATGATCAGGTTGATGCCATGAACCATGTGTGGAATTTTCAAAACATATCACCCATCCACATCGAGTTGCTTAGTCCAAATACATATCTGGTTGGGTTATCATAGTTGTATAGTTATATAATGATGTTATATAAAATATTTATAATATAATATAATATAATATATTATAATATAATATAATATAATATAATATAATATAATATTTTAATTTAATATAATATATACATACAATATATAATATAATATAATATAAATATAATATAATATGATATAATACAATATCATATATTATAATATAATATAATATAATATAATATATTATAATATAATATAATATAATAGAATAGAATATAATATAATATAATATAATATAATAATATAATATAATATAATATAATATATTATAATATAATATAATATAATATAATATATAATATATAATATAATATAATATAATTTAATATAATATAATATAATATAGTTATATATAGTTATATATATAATATAATATAAATATATATAAATAATATATATATATAATATGTATATCATATAGTTATATATAGTTAATTATATAGTTATCACATCCACATTTTGGGTGCACCCAGGAGGGGATGGACCCCGAGAAACCCTTGGAGAGCACGTTGGAGGAGATTGATGCCAAGGTGACTTGTGGAGGGGCGCCAAATGGTGCCATGTTGTCCTACAATCGATTCGTCATGTTTGCTAAAGGGTAATGGGAAACCATGGGAAACCAATGGTTTTGAGATGTTCAAGAGATTTTTTCAATATTCCAATCTCAAGAAACGCCCAAACTGGTGTTGGTGGGGTGCTGACGCCGACGATTTCTTCGGGCCAAAAATGCCTGTGAACTTGTATCTTTTCCTTCCTGGAGATGTGTTGACATGGGCATTGGGTCTCACGTTGCTGAGTGGCTAGCGGGTAGCCCAAATTGTTTGGATTTGCCGGTTCGTTCAGAAGATTGGAGGTAGCACAGCTGTCTCTCAGCGGGTACGGAACGCTGCCTTAGGATACTTGGAAAGTGCATGAAAGTGCTACATTGTATATATGATATCCAGTATTTTTATGTATCATTTCCTTTGGTTGCATTTGAAGATTCTGACAGACGGTATTGCGCCGTAGACTGCGCTTTCGCCCTTGCATGCACTTCACATTTCGTTGGGTGCTGGAACCTGGAAGTTGCAAATTTTGCAAGTGGCGAAAGCAAACCCATAGCTCGGTTCAAGGTCACCAAGTTGTTTCAACTTCTAAGCATGCTGGCTTTTAATTAATCCCTAAGAACGGGGTGATGATCTCAAATTCTCCCAGGTTTTAGGGCCAGGCTAGCTCAACCACCAACCGACCATGTTCCATGTTTTATGCTTTCCATCCCTATCTTTTCAAGAGAGGTTTCAGATGACTGAACTACAGGGCGGCAAGCGTGAGCAATACCTGGTTCCAGCCCATATGGCAGGCTTAAAACACATCCCACCCTAAGAGGTTGATAGATTCTTAATTACCATTTCTTAGCCATAGAAAACATGGATGGAAGAAACTGCCAGCCATACATTCCCAAGATTGGTTCAAGTATAAACATACACGATTTCCTCAAATTTGGATGGCCCAACCCAAGGAAAGCGCATGAAAAAAAGGATGCTCTCAGTCATGATACCCATGTTATTTTGTATAAATGGGAAAGCCTATGCCTCCATCAAAACCACAAGTCTCAATTTTCTGACTAACATGCCATGGAACGAACACACGCACACACACACACTGGACTGACACATTCGCTTGTGATGCCAAAGTTTGAAACATGCAATAAAAAACAGTTTAAAAAATCGTTAAAATACCACCGACCACCGAACACCATTGCAAAATGATTAAGCCCGTCCATCAAAAAACATTAGAAAAGCATGAGGAAAGCAGAACGGCATAAGAAAGAAACACATCATATACATACCCATACATACCCTCTGGTCATGTGACAATTCGCCATGGAAAATGATTTGCCACACAACCATTTTCACTGGTGATGTGAAATTTTCAGAGGTTACAAAACCAATCCATCAAAACAATCCATATCAATCCATCAAGAGTCCAGTAGAAAACCAAGTCGAAAACCAATTGATTTTCAAACTACGTTCCAATTTTTACCCAATCAGACAATTCATCGCCCATTGAACAACCATAACCATGGATTCGGTTGAAGCCTTGGCGCTTCGACCATTTTTCCGCGGCTGTTTCTGACCTGACAGGGATGGATAGATAGGGAACCAGGACAGAAACCATCCGGGTTTGTCTGAAAATAGGGTACCCCAATGTACCCCATCTATCCACTGGTTCATCATGGTTAATCTAAAAAACATAAAAAACAAAAAAACATAATTTCCCCTGTTGCATGGCTATCCATTATATAGGGGATACACCAATTTTAGACAATCCCAATTCCACTTTTCCGGAGCTCCAACTGGTGTAAAATTATCATCTATTGGGAGGACCCAATTATGAGTACCCACTTATAATCATCTACCCATCATTTCATCATTTTGAAAAACTATTGGCTATAGGGTGCAATTCTTTTTATATGATTGGTAACCCCCTTTCACAACTTCTGGTTCATCATTTTCCAACTGGAAAGGGGTACCCTCTGGTGAACTAACATAGCAATGGAAAATCACAATTTTTCATGGGAAAATCCACTGTTTCTATGGCCATTTTCCATTGCTATGTTAGTTCACCAGAGGGTATCCCAATCATATCCCAATCGATTCATCCCGTTTTCCACGCCAGGTCAGTCGCGCCGCGGGCTTGGTGGGCTCCCGCGCCGCCGCCGAATCCCGGCGCCGGCCCGGCGCCAGCCGCGGCAACGGCAACGGCTCGCCGCGGAAGGAGGCCGAGGCCATGGGAGGCGAAAATCTGGGAAATGGGTGGCCAAATTCATGGGAAGTTGGGACTCAAATGCCACAAATCACGCCATTTGACACAATTTATTATAGTATTGAATCTAATTGTTAAGGGGGGGTTGAGGGGATACATGTCAATTTGAAAAAAGATATGATGATGAAACATCGCAGCCATGTACCAGTGGTGGGTTTGGATATGTTTGGAGGGGAGAGTCTACCTTCATCCATCATCCGAACTCGAAGATAGTTAATCAATGTAATCATACATAATCACACCATATCTCTATGAACCTGGATGATGAGATGTTGGCATGTACCATACCATATGGGTGTCAAAAAACTTGATATTTAAGCCTAGTACATGGCATTTTTTGATCGGGAACATTGAAACTTTATATAACCAGTGATTTTGGGTTGGTATACCACGTTGTTGGACCAACTGGGGGGAAGATGGGGAAGGGGGCTCAACAAACCCATGATGCCATCCTTACAATTACTGTACTAAAGAATTAGTGGATGAATGGGGACATAAATAAACAAGACCTATCATCTGCCATCTGGATGAACGATGATAGATGCAGAAAGAGATGGAGGAAGAGAAAGATAGGGAGGAATGGATGGATACCCGGATGCCCCTTCCCCATGAGATTCCCACATTTGCCCCCAAAAAGAATGGATTCGATACATTCCCCCAAGGTTTCGTCTCTGGGAGTGTATTTCATATTTGGGGGAAGGGAATGCACGGATGGGTGGATGGACAGATACAGTATATAGATAGACGGTCTGATAGACGTAAGCTTTGGCAATCAAACACGGCTTGCTGAGACTATGAGCAGTAATTAGCAGGATGATCCGAGCTTTTGGCAATTCCAACACGGCCATAAATGGTTCATGCCCTAATCATCCCACATGCCCTAATCCCAGATCCATAATTCACTAAATAGGATCTGTTAGGAACCTCTCTCTCTCTCTCTCCCTCCCTATTAATCTATATATATATAGACACGTATCATCTGCATATCATCCGTATGATGAGCCCATATCGTGACCGTAAACCCCTGAATGATATTTCAACATTTTACCGGGACCCCCAGGTTGAGTCGTCTCCGCGACAAGCCTCAGCGCTGCGTCGAGGGGTGCAGGCGATTTGGGCATCATGTTTCAACTGGGCTGTTTCAAAGTGGGAGATTTTTCAACAGAACGTGCTTTTAGTAGGGACAACGATGACAAATCAATATGACATATAAAACCGGAGGATTGTTGTGACCCCAATTTTTGAGACGGACTTAACTAACATACCCTTTAAATATATCCAAAGATGAGTATCCCTAAAACCATCCAAAGCCGCAGGATGATTCTCATAAAGACGATCAAACCTTATCAACAAAACAAAGGTACACTTAAAAACATGAGCAGCAAACCATCTAAACCTGAAGGATCCATGGAATCCATGGCAGGCACACAGAGACTTCGTCAACTTCGTTTGTCGTAGCTTCCTCAGCGAAGATCACTATTTTCAACTCCAAATGGGATGTTGAAAACAGCAACCACTTGGATCCGTTGAATGCGAAACATATGGAAAAAAACAAGCAAAAACAAGCAACGTACGTGAGTGATTTGGTGATTCTTTTTGCTGTCTAATGTCATAGAATTGGATATAATTGGATGATGGGAAAATTTACAGGAAAGCCCTATATTTGATGGTAAAAACCATGGTTTCCTGGAGTAGTGCCACCGATCCTCCCAGCGCCCAGGCAAGTTCGGGAATTCTCTGCGGCTTTGGTTCGTCATCGATCCAGAGGTGCCTTTTGACGGCCGTGGGACAGGCAGATAGGTTAAATAAAGTTAATGAGTTTCTCAAAATGGAGGTGCCCTTTAAAAGCATGGGATTCTCAAGTGATGACACATCTTTATTGGGTGATTCCGAATGTTTTTTTTTCATGGCTTCGGAAACGTTCAATCAAGACATGTTGCCCTAGCATTCGCGGCGCGACGTAGGAGCATCTCAAGATCGGCGAGAAGCAGTTTGTGCGGGCCTGTGAGGCGGGCATCATGGCCGCCATGGCTTGTATCATGTGGTCAACCCTGGCTGACATAAATATGGCCATTTATGCCATTCCCATAGTAAAGATCATCCCCAGTCATGGTAGTTGTTTATGGCGCCCAAAGGTTTCCCAGGTTTCTTACATGAATTCAGATGTTGAGTTGAAACATAGGGGCTTTCTTAAAGTGGGGGGTTTGCAATATTTAAAAGTGTCTATTTTTGGATAATTTGGGGTACTCCCAGCCATCCCCAGCAGGAACCCCCCAAAGTGTTGAGCCATCAGATCCCGCAGGAGATTGGATTCAGTGGCTGCCTCTTGACCTTGTGGCGCCAGTTGGATCCGGACTGCACAGGCCACGGCCCTGGCCACACTACATCCGAAACCCAACCGATTTCAATGGATTTTCCATCCGAAATTGACAATAGACGGAGGGCTAATTATTTTAGGATTTTTTTTTTTGATCAGGTTTAGGAATTATTTTTGGATTCCTGCTTCTCTGCTTTTCCTGCTTTTCCTGCTTCTCTGCTTTCCTGCTTTTCCTGCTTTTCCTGCTGTTCCTGCTTCTCTGCTTTTCTGCTTTTTTGCTTTTCTGCTTCTCCTGCTTCTCTGCTGCTTTTCTGCTTTTTTGCTTTTCTGCTTCTCCTGCTTCTCTGCTTCTCTGCTTTCTGCTTTTTTGCTTTTCTGTTTTTCCTGTTTCTTTGCTTCTCTGCTTTTCCTGCTTTTCCTGCTTTTTTTGCTTTTCCGCTTTTCTGCTTTTCCTGCTTCTTTGCCTTTCTGCTGTTTTGCTTTTGTGCGTTTCCTGTTTCTTTGCTTCTCTGCTTTTTGCTTCTCTGCTTTTTTTTTTGCTTTGCCTGCTTTAAATACTTGATTTTCATGTAAGATGCATTTTGCACAGTATTTACATCCCTGAGTATCACATGACCAACCTTCTCTTGAAAACTAGCAACGTAACATGTGAGAAGAGGTGCTTGCATTCTGCTTTGGGGGGAGGCGCTGCGCCCTCCCCCCAATCCCCCCCTCCCGCTTTTTTTTATTTAAACTTAAACCCAAGTTACATTAGTTGGTTTTTGCGAACTAACCTTCTCTGGAAAGCTGACAGGATTACATGATAGATAGATAGATATAGAGCAGAGCTAGACAGATAGATAGATAGATAGCTAGATAGAGCTAGATAGATAGATGGCTAGATAGATAGCTAGATAGATAGCTAGCTAGATAGATAGATAGATAGATAGATAGATAGATAGATAGCTGATAGATAGCTAGATAGATAGCTCGATAGCTAGATAGCTGGATAGACAGCTAGATAGATAGATAGCTAGAGTCTGATAGATAGCTAGATACCTCGATAGATAGATGGCTAGATAGATAGCTAGATAGATAGATGGCTAGATAGATAGCTAGATAGATAGATAGCTAGCTAGATAGATAAAGAGGTAGCTAGATAGATAGCTAGATAGATAGATAGATAGCTAAATAGATAGGTAGATAGTTCGCTAGATAGATAGATAGCTAGATAGATAGCTCGATAGCTAGATAGCTGGATAGACAGCTGGATGGCTAGATAGATAGATAGCTAGATAGATACAAAGCTAGATAGCTAGATAGCTAGATAGATGGTTAGCTAGATAGCTCGATAGCTAGATAGCTGGACAGACAGCTGGATGGCTAGATAGATAGATAGCTAGATAGATAGAAAGCTAGATAGCTAGATAGCTAGATAGATAGTTAGCTAGATAGCTAGATAGGTAGATAGATAGCTAGCAAGATAGCTAGCTAGATAGGTAGATAGATAGCTAGATAGATAGATAGCTTGGTAGATAGATAGCTAGCTTGCTAGATAGATAGCTAGCTAGATAGATAGCTAGCTAGCTGGATAGATAGCTAGCGCCGTCCCTCAATCCCCCCCACCCGCTTTTTATCTAATCCCATGCTTCCGCATCTGTAAATATTTGGGTGAACATGCTCACATGTAGAACATCCCATGCAAAATGGAAGGTGAACATGCCAAAATGTGGCAAATACCATACAAATTGGACGGTGAACATGCCCACATGTAGGAAATCCCATGCAAAATGGAAGGTGAACATGCCAAAATGTGGCAAATACCATACAAAATGGAAGGTGAACATGCCCACATGTAGTAAATCCCATGCAAAATGGAAGGTGAACATGCCCAAGTGTTGCAAATACCATGCAAAATGACAAATTCAAGTTCCAAACAGTTGCAAACACTAGGCAAATGGTACCAGCCAAGAAATCCAAAAAAAAATCCCAAACCTGTTCAAAAAAAAAATCCTAAAACTATTTCACACCCTTTTACCGATTTCAATGGATTTTCCATCCGAAATTGACAATAGACAGTAGTAGTATATGGTACAGAAAGACTGTAGTGGGGGATTGTGATTGAAATATGATAAATATGCCGAAATTGACTTCTTGGGCTGGGATTGAAAGCAAACCCCCTTCTGCTGACTGGTGCGTTGAGGGTCTCCGCTCTCCAGATTATGGGTGCGCACTGCGTACTTCACTCTCCACACACACTCACACACACATACGCACATAAATATCATATGGCAAAATACGTTAAGCCGCAGCGCGCAGCAGCGAAGAGGAAGCGAGAGCGAGGACCACCAGACCTGAGTGAATCCTTAGTGAGACAAGTGACACCTTAGCTGGCAGGGCATGCAGTGAAGTCAATGAACCTATATAAGTGGATATGACACCGCTGTAGTTCTTAAAGAACCTCGGATTTTTCAACCACCAGATAGGTCCTATCAAATAAAAGAAGAAGATTTCAGGAACCCTCATTTTCCGTGACGGAGACCCTACAAGGTATCCACCGTGGCGCACATATGTACCAAGACTTTTTCATCCTCACAGTCCGAAACCCACCCCAGCCGAAGAAGCAAAGGTGAATAATCGGGTAAGTAGATTTCATGTTTGTTTTTGCAGCATTCCCAGAAACAGTGCTGAAAGGTACCTATAGTGTAATATGCATATCATATGTATATATACTAGACATATGCACACCCATATTATACATACATCCCATCGTCTACCTGTGCACGTGTATATATCTAAGTGCATATATTAGTAATTTGATGTAATTTGTAATTAACTGCGTGTGGTGCATATTGCTATGTTGTTTGTTGAATATCGTGATAGAACATGCACCAAGAATAATACTACAATTTTCCTGTTTTCTTCCCAAATATTTTCGCTAAAGATAAGTTACTGTATAGATTGTATGGCATTGTATGGCATTGCATGGCATTGCATGGCATTGTATGGTTTCAAGATGTTTCCACAATTTTTCCCAAACCATTGGTTTCCCCGTAGCAAACGAGAGAATTTGGGTGAGATTAGAACCAGGGTGCCTCAGCCACCAGTGGCACCAGCCCGGGAGCTCGAAGTGGGAGGCCACATCTCCTTCCATGACATTGACCCGGTAGCTGCGCTCCAACTGGCAGACTTCAAGGTGCAAAGGAAGCTCTAGGTGTAATGGAGGTTTAATGGAGTTTTGATGGGATTTTATGGGATTTACCAATCAAAAATGGAGTATGACCATCGTACATGGGATTTTGATATATTTCAACACTAAAAACCGGGGTGCTTCACTGTATCGCCAGAGACTCAAACCTCGAGTGGAAAGCTAAATGAATCGAAGAATCTAAACTGAAGATCCAACTCTTAGAGGCTTAGAGGGCACGGATCTTGTCATGGCCAAGATGGGTATGAGCCAGTTCACATCAGTTCACCCTAGTGCCCTAGTGCCCTAGTGCTCAAACCAAAATAGCTGGTATTTCTATACATGGATGTCATGGATGTTCATCTGAGTCCAATGGGTGGAGGATGCCATGCTGCCATGCTGCATGGCAGGTGCTGCTCATGAAGCAGTTTGATGGCAGCTTGGCTTCTCTGAGCCTTCTCTAACTCGGACGATTGTCGTAGTTAGAAGCCAGGACTCAAGACCAAGAATCTCTCAAATCATCATTGCTACATGTTTCTTTTCGTTGCAGACTTCTGAGATGATCGCCCCAGTGGAACAAATTGGCCAACAACAGCTGTACTATGCTGTACTTGTTGTGTCGGCGTTGGAGGAGCCTGGATAGCTTCGGATAGCTGTATGGACCAAGATTCGAACTCAGCTGACCTGGAACGCCCAGGCGAAGTTCAGAAGTTTCTCAAGATCGTGGGGACACCAAACGGGAAAGGTGCCATGGGCGTAGAAGGCGTAGAAGTGCTAGGAAGACACCGGTGGATCACATGAAAACCGCGGAAAACATGGAATATATAATATACTGGTTTTGGGATGTCTTTTTTTTGGGGGACTGGGTAGATATCTGTAGCAATGCCGGCAATCACAAGTCTCGTTGATCAAGATATGGCATGTTTTTTTCATAGCAAAAAGAGGGTCACACAGACCCCCCAGATACCTGCAGCTTTGCAAAATTACAATAAACCTTTGAGGGTTTGTTGTAGGACTTTCAGCCATTTACCCTCTGGTAACTTGTTATGGAAAAGGGATGAAAAGGGCCCATTTGCAGATGATTTTAAATGATATTATATATTATATATGTATGTTTGTAATTATATATTTAATATACCTGTTAAAAGTGATGATGTTCAATAGCTATGGGGTATTGTTGCTGATTTCTTGGGTGCTTTGGCTCTGAGCACCAGTTGGTGGGCTCCTCCGCGTGAAATTTGGCCATGGCGGACCTGAATTGTGGCGGTGAGGTCAGCAGCTTTCTGCAGCAGCCTGCCGCTTGGAGCTGAGACGACTCCCTGGGGAAGAGGGGTAAATCGTAAAGCAATATTGGGTTGGGTCTCTATAGTAACATGTCCTGAGATAGGTGGCGCAGAAATTAATTGCATATATAAATACACACACACACATATATATATATATACATATACACATACATACACACATACACGTACACATTTAAGATCATTTAAGTATATGTATATAGCTAGGCTAGATGTAAGTAGATCGAGCACAGACTCGTCACTATGCCTCCCTATCTCTCTTTCTCTCTTTTTTTCTTGGTGACTTCCCACCTGAATCCATGGAATTATAGGGACCCCCAGTGATGGGACCCCCAGTGATGGGACCCCCAGTGACCCCCATTCTCATAATCTTCCCATACCAAGTGTCTGTTGAGGTTTCTTGTGGGAGTATGGGAATGGAGTCCCATCAGTGGGGAGCCTATAAATTCCACTAGTTGAACCCAGGTGAAGCTCCATGCAGCGCTTTCCTGCATGCCTTCCTGGCCAAAGATGCACTCATTGCTGCAATTGCCTCCCGTGCCAGTGATGGAAGGTGGGACATGGACGGGTGGCATGACCCATTGGGGGTACCCTCTGGTAATCAAACATGGTTTGCTGGAAAATCCACCATTTGTAGATGTTTCCTCTCATGAAGCCACCATTTATAGAGGATGTTCAATTGCCACGCCACGCGTGGTTACCGGACAGTATGTATAATCAAACATGTTGTGTGAATATCATCGGATATGCAAGGATATAAGGATACAGAATGATCCGGAACCAGCATGAAGTATGGCATTGTCCAATAATCTGGATTTGCCTTCCATTTTGGGGGGCATTTTGATGAGGAACATGAGTCGTGAGGCTTAACACAGATAGCCTTTCGGTAAGATGTAGGTTTGTGCTGCTTGCGGTCGACCAAACAATGGTTGTCGAAAGGAACAACAGTTGGATGTCTCATTGATGTGGAAAACATGTCCCCTCATTGTGGTCCTAGCATCTATGATCAGTTACCTATACTTTATATATATATATATATCTAATTATAGCACGCCCCAACAGATAGAAAAGTTACCTCGGAAATACGAGGGAAACATCATCTTTACACTCCCGGAACACTTTTCTAGCTTTTTGTTGGGGTTGCTATAGAGAAGGATGGCGGATCCTTCATAATCACACCGGTGGCAAATCCTGCCTTTTTTTGGATCCTTGCAGCCTAGTGTTGTGGATTAAATCAAGCTAAGCATGCGAAATGCCTATTGTTTTCGTGAAATATACGAACTATGATTTTGATCATAGTAAATCCATACTTAAATCCTAACTTTCTCAGCAAGTTCCAGCATTTTCGCCATCGGAAGGTGTTGCTTTTACCCTGATGTTGATTCTTGGCATCCTGGTTTTGATCTACTGCATCCTGCGCCTCACCACGCGGCCGCGGCCGCGCCGGGCGACCTTTAACCTGGAAGCGGATCCAGCCCCAAAGGCTGGACAGGCCTGGACAGGGTGGAGAGTCCCCCTGTATGTTCTTCGATGATTTGCCCAAAAGCTCCATGAAAATCATGGGGACTTTCCAGCTAGCCACATTTGATTACCGGAGGGTACTGGAGAAAGATTATTTGGATGATGTTACATAGATATCTTGGTCATATTTCACCCTGCCTGTTCATGAAACATGGGTTGTTTGAAAGGTCATGGACAAACCGCCAGCGCGAATGATTAACAACTTCAGTTTCACCACTCACATTGCCCTTACCACCCCAAAACCAATGTCAAGTTATTGCATATTCTTGGTGGTTGACTCTGAACTTGCTTAGTTGAAAGTTGAAACGATGTTTTTTCGCCAAAGCGCTTTGCCTCCCCTCCCTTCGGGAGCCTGTGAAGGAGGAGGATACAGGTGATACAGAGATCAGTACGCAACGAAGTCTGTGAGAAGTGTCAACAGATGGGGGCTTGCCATGCTTGGCAGTGCTTGGTGGTGCAGTTGGGGTGGTGCAGTTGGGGTGGTGCAGTTGGGGTGGTGCAGTTGGGGTGAAAAAAAATTGTAGAATTTCGTGGTTACGTATGCATATGTACGCATATAAATATAATTATATATATATGCACACTATTGTATGTCCACCAACAACTTAGAATTTTTGGGGTTAAAGCATATGAATAAAGGTAGACTACCATGGTGACAACCTCCATAAGTTGGCATATGGCCTCCCTATAGTAGGTATATGATGAAATACATATATATATATTATATAATATATACACATTAATATAATATGTACAATATACACATATGTAAATAAATAAATATAAATATATATATATATGTATATCAAGAAAAGATACATGCACGCCCACACACACACGCACACATACATACATGTAAACACAAACGTATCTACATGCATATGTATAGATATATATACATACATACATATGTATACACACATAAAGATATATACACACAGAAAAATATATATATATATACACATATACATGACTATATATATACATATATATATATACATACAAATATAAACATATATATGCATACAAATATACACATATATATATACATATAAATATACATACATATATACAAATACATGCATATATATATATGTATATATGTTTATGCATACATACATATATACAAATATATACATATATATATACACATATATATATACATATACATAGATATATAATGATATATATATATACACATACATATATATATATATACATATATATATACATATATATATATATACATATCTATATATATATACATACCTATATATATACATATATCTATATATACATATATCTATATATACATATATCTATATATACATATATATATAGACACATATACATATACATATATATATACACATATATATATGCATACATGCATACATGCATACATACGTACGTACCTACATACATACATACATACATACATACACGCACACACACACATATATATACACACGATTATAAATGGAAAACCTGCACCGTGGTGATTCAAGATGGCATGGGCCGACTGGAAAGTGATTATTATTGGACAAAAGAAACGCAATTCTATATCATCCATCTTTGGGCACCCCAGTTTTGAATACATACATGTACACGCACACATACATATATATATATACACATGTGTGTATACAGAAATATTACCATGTATTTCCTGTTTGGAGAGAATTATTGAAAAACAGCAGGCACTTGCAAGTCGTATGAGCTGTTCTAATGACAAACGAGGATTTTCCCGGCTCATCCATATTATTGGATGTCAGACAGAGTGAGATGGACACTTCCGAAAGGCTTCAACGCGGAACGTTAGTGTTAGGATGCTGCCTGTTGCGCACCACTCATGAAATTTCACCAAAGGATTCAAGAGTACGAGGGTGCCTTGGGAACGGGTTGAAGCCCCCCGCCAGCAGTAATTTCTGCTTCAAATTGTATGTTTGTTCATCAGATCTCATCATCATTTCTTCATTAAATCCTGGTTGCATTCATTGGGTTCAAGAGGCAAAGTAAAGGAAACCAGTGGTTTTCCGAGTCATGCTGGGTGGTTCCTGATTTTTTTCCCTTCCAATGGGATAGCAGCAATGGTCAGCATATCTTCTGCGGACGCGGAGTGCAGGTGGCGCGAGTTTCACCAGAGGATTCCAGCACCTTTCTAGCTAGGGCATTCTTAGATAGTTACCCTCTGGTAATTTAACATAACTATGGAAAATCACCATTTTTAATGGGAAAATCCACTATAAATGGTCATTTTCAATAGCTATGTTAAATTACCAGGGGGTATATGATGTTATATGATTGAATTAGTGCTTGACATCAGCTGTTTCTTTTTAAAGAGAAACCTGGTTTTGAAAGGCCTTAGCAAACTAGCACGTCGATCACGTCGCAAAGATCGAACCCATCGTCTGCATAGCAGTATCGTTTAAGCGCAGTTCCGGTTGCCGCACATTGGTGCCATCTCAAAGTCCGGATGCCACCGATCCGCTGCAGATCATTGCAGATCCTGCAAGAAGCAGAGAAAGATGGCGCGGCAGTTGAGGAGTGCTGAAAGCGACAAGAGATTTAGATATTGGAAATGTATGGAAATTTGAGGAAACAGAAAATGATGAAAATGGGCTCAGTAGATGAGTTTCCTGATTGAACCAGTGAGATTTTTGATATTTGCAACTTCAGCCACTTTTTTTTTGCGATTCTCTTGATTTTCATATTCGATGCAGTAAGTTTGGTGAGTATGGTAGTGATCACGTGCAGTTGTTGTTTGGGCACCATCTGGAGCGCACCCCAGCTTCCACGAGGTGGAGATGAATCGGAGTCAACGTGTTGGAAGAGATGCGTGGGGGGGATCCGGCTGAGATCATGAGACGGTGGTATACCATGATGCCAGTATAGTATGTCCCGGTGGTAAATGATTCTTGTCTGTAGATTACTCTAGATCGTTTTCGGAATGTGGAAGTCATGCTACAATGTACACATGCTCACTACTTGTCGTTGAATCGTATTTACTGGCAGGGTAGCACCATGATAGAACCTGTAGATCCCCATGATGTCCAGTGCAGCCAGCCTTTGACTCATGGTGCCACACTGTTTGGCCAAGCAGTGACGCCAATGATGCAGTCGCGCTGAATCTATTTTGCAGCAGGGAAATCACACACATGTGTTACACATAAAATACATATTCATATGTATACATACAAAATATAGTATGACATATATGTATAATTATAAAAATACATTAATTATCATTAATTTGCATATATATATTATACTTTATTATATATATATATGTAATATGTATGTATAATGACACCTATATGTGCCTTGTGCATCCTCCAAGAGTCATCCAGGTTCGTGAAGGCCTTGGATGACACACTGCAGGTGCCGTAGCTGCCGCGGCGAAAATTGCAATTCTTGTCTTCTAGCAGGTGTAAAAAACCAAAGCAAACTAATAATATATTATACATATACGGTATACATATACATATACATATACATATACATATACACACAGACATATATATATATATATATATGTATATGTTTGTGTGTATATATATATGTATAACACAATGCGTAGTAATTTATAGCCAAAATAGCGTTTGAGTTGAATCCCAAGGTGGGACCAAAAGGCAGGTCGTCGTGTGTTTTCTATGCACGACCAGGGCGCACGGAGGCTTTTCGATCTGCTCTGTCGGAGGGCCCAGGTCGCTGATTTTCCCGGGAAGCACCACAGAAGAATTGAAGAACGCTGAAATTTGGATGTGAATCCAAAATAGTCTAAACAAAGTTGAGGGTTTAGGCAACCTGAACGAAAATCTCCTCACACACACACACGCATATGTATATGTGGTTATCTGCACATACAAGCGTGTATATAGAGATATGTATATATATATTATATTATCAATATGCATACGCACGTATGTATTACCAGAAATCTTTGAATCGAACTGTCACGCTGGCCAACAGCAACAAGGCCGACACAATGGGTCCACCGTGTCAGCTGCAAACTCAGATGTTTACATCCACAGGTATTTTTTGACTGGATGTGGGCTTCCGCACTGACAGAGATCGTTGGTTTGTTTTTCGGTACATTCTAGAGGTCATACCCCATCGTTTGACATCCTCAACGGTCCCTTAAGGTATCTTCATGCTAGTCATTTTCGGTATGATTTGGTTGAATGGTACGTGCTGGGTTGATGGGTTATGTCCCCCCATTGTTGTTGGACATTAACTTTGCTGTCCATTGCATCCAAAAGTGGTCGTTAGGCCCAAAGTTTCGCCAACATTCTAACTCTTGGGCCATCATCTCCAGGTTTTTTTTTTGAGGCGAGAGAACTGCGATTTCTCGAGAAGTGGCCACTGGGCCTATGGAGAAATCTGGGCTGCAGCCATGGATAATTACCACAGATCCAAATAAATGGTAGCGACCTCACATCGCGAGGTCACTGTAAATGATGGTTAATAGAGAATTGACTTTATGTAAGGTTAGTGAATCACTGCAATTTATCCAGACTGATGGCACCGACCAGGGAAAACGGCAAAGTCTAGACAAAGACCAAAGACAAGACAGACAGTACAACTACGAACAAGCAATATCCAGAAGACACGCCGGCTGGCCGGCGGATTCATGGATATGTTCCCTTTAATGCTTGTAAAGTCATGTTTACCAGCCATATGGATGGTTTTTTTCGCGCCCATGATGGTCATGGGTCATGTCATATGGTGGATCTTATGGCCTTACGAACGGTGGAGATCCAAGAGCCCACTGAGACTGTTCCAAGGTGGCCCCCGCCCTACTTCCTGGTGCCGCCAGACCGCGCCCGGCTACACCACTTCTGTGCGGCAAGGGCCCCAGGTGGAAACCCCATTGGGTCCACTGGGCCAACTGATATTCGACGAATATTTAGGCAGCAATTCAAGGGGCAAACATCTTGGTTAAATGACATGGATGCATCTCCTGAATAGACATGTGTCAATATTTGGTTTTAAACAAACCAGATGGAAGGATCAAACGTGACCACATTAAACTTCAACCAGCCCTCGGTTCAATGGGTTTCAATGCAATGTGGTCAACCCAGTGTGATAATCCACCACGACTTACCGGAAATGGGTCGTATAAACCATCCAAAATTTGAGGTAGGTTTTGTTGTTGTGTTTATCACAGGCGTTTTTAACACCAAAGTGAATCAGATAGAATTAAAATCCCATTGATTGATTGATGTTTCACAATAAAGTCTCGGCACACGCAAATCACAACTATCATCAATATCAATGACATGTAGGCAAACAAAAATTATCAAACATCATCTCAATCCAAAACTTGTATCCCAGAATACCCCAGACATTCCCAGACCTTTCCATTGATCCCATTGAAAGGCCGAACGTTCCGCTGAGCCAGCCGCAGCTCTCAGGTGCTGGGGGATGCTGCTCATGGCAATCCACTGAAAGCCTGGTGCTGGGACCCAGGGAATTCTTGGGGAAAGCGGGGGAGGTATGGGGAGGTGGTTTCTTTTGGGAAGAAACCACGGAAAAAAATGAACAAAAAGTGAAATGTGATGAAACACGGATCATTGGCCGTGAATGAATTTTAGCAAGAACATAGATATGCACAAAGCACATGGATTATTTGCTTGATTTGTGGGTTTGGGAGGTCCCCCAGGCCTAGGGCCTAGGGGACAAAATTTAGTGCGAATCCGCACTAACCATGAAAAGAACCCGTCGGTCACTTTGGTAATTTAATGTAATTTAACTATAACATATTATGTCTATAATATATTCTATAATCATGATATCCGCAACATAAATTGTCATTTGAATCACTGAATCACTCAGATATCATCATTCACCATAAGTCACATATTACTAGTATGATAGCTTCGAGAATTTGATAGCCATGGATCATCACCATTCTTAATAGATCTTATTTTTTACTGTTTAAGACAAACACTCCATAACTGTGTTGACGGCCTCACTGCGGCGTCACGACGGAATGACGTAAAAGACAGGGATGACACAAATCCCGATCCGAAAAAGGCACTGGTTTCAGGCTGGCGAATTGATATACTTTTATAACTAAGTTGACTATATAGATTCCAGACCATTCAAAGTGACCTCTTTCTCCCTTGGTTTGAGGTCACTTAACCATTGAAATGGTCACTTACTAGGCCCAAAATAGTCACTTTGAACTGCCAGGTTATAAATGATTATATATATATATGGGTTAGTATTTTTTCCCGTGGTCCTAGATATGTATTGGTGGAAGGTGGCGCTCTTGCGAAGCATACCCCCGAAGCATACCCCCGAAGCATACCCCGAAGCAAACCCCCAAAATGAAGATCATTTTTGAGGGGTTGTTGATGGTTGTTATTTGGAGATCTTGGGCTCAAATATATCAAGATGGGTCGCGACACTTGCTCCATGCTGCCTTTAGGCGCCCTTTGCGCCATCCCGCCCTCCATCCCCGCAGTCTGGCTGCCCTATGCAGCCAAGTAGGTTGGAGACAGCTTCGGTGCTGACTGGCCGCTGTAGCTTCATTGTGGCAGCCGATACCGTTTGCATCGACCAGCTTCTGGTGCTGACTGGCCGTTGTAGCTCTGTCTAGATCTGATACGGTGTGCTGAATAGTGCTCCGCGAATCATACCCGAATCACACCCGTTTCATACCTCAAACCTTCAACTTCCAGACCCTGGCACATTTTGAACGCGTGAGTAAGGTACTTCACATCCCTGCATGACCCTGAAAATAAGACATCCTTGCCCATACCGCCATGGCACCAAATAAGTACATGCGAAGCATACCCCGAAGCATACCCCCGAAGCAAACCCCGAAGCATACCTCCGAAGCATACCCCCTAGACAAACCTCCCAGTGGGGATACGGTATTTCCAGACGAACCCATATATATATATATATATGTGGCAGGGACCTTTTGGTATAATGCGACCGTCCTCTTTCTGATCCCATTTGTTTCCATACTTGTCTCCTTGTCTGTTCCCAACTTGTCTCCTTATTTCTCTATCTCCATTGCGATTCTTCTCTCTGGGTGCTTTCGGTCAAAGGAATCTCCCCTTGTCTCCCGTTCCTCACTTCTCTCTCCATTGCTCAGTGTTCTTCGTTCTGGTGGCTTTGGGACAGGACTCAAGTCCCATCTGTTTTCGTACTCGTCTCTCTACTTCACTCTCACATGTGGCTGTTCTCTCTGGGTGCTTCCGGGGCACAGTATGCTCCTTGTCCTCTGTCTGTCTATGTGCTTGTCCCCCTTGTTCTCTCCAACTCATGCCCTTACTTCTCTCTCTCTCTCTTGCTGTTCTTCTCTCTAGGTGCTTATTTGGACACATGATTCTCTCCGGTTCCTCACTTGCCCTTTCTTGTTCCCTCCAACGTGTATCCTTAATCCCCTCCCCATTGCTGCTGCTGGGGGAAGAATGGATTTCCTGGCCTCTTGTGTTTCTCCCTGCCTTTTTTCCTTTGTTCAGGTCACATTCCCTTACCCTCAGTCTCTACCACGTGTTACCCTACTTACCTTCCTACTTGTCTCCAACTTGTCTCCTTATCCTCTCTCCACTACCGTGCTTCTTTCCAGGTCTCCGGCATTTGGGACGGAGAGGATAGTTTTTCTCCTCTTTCCTTTCTTTCCTTCCTTGTCCCTGTAGTCTTTCCCAGCGCTTTCTTCACTTCTCTCCTCATTCCTGTTGTTCTCGCTTTTGGGACCCAAGATTCCCCTTGTCTCCCATGTGTTCCCATCTGTGTCCTTATTTAGCCAATTTTTTCCTACTTGCTGTTTTGTCTAGGCTTTAGGACCTCTTCATTTCTTTTTGTCCCTCCCTGTTACTGTTCTTCTTCCTGGGTGCTTCTGGGCACAGGATACTCTTCGTGGTGCTCGATGGCAAAGGATTCTTCTTGCCTCCCATTTGTTTCCATACTTGTCTCCTTGTCTGTTCCCAACTTGTCTCCTTACTTCTCTATCTCCATTGCGATTCTTCTCTCTGGGTGCTTTCGGTCAAAGGAATCTCCTTGTCTCCCGTTCCTCACTTCTCTCTCCATTGCTCAGTGTTCTTCGTTCTGGTGGCTTTGGGGACAGGACTCAAGTCCCATCTGTTTTCGTACTCGTCTCTCTACTTCACTCTCACATGTGGCTGTTCTCTCTGGGTGCTTCCGGGGCACAGTATGCTCCTTGTCCTCTGTCTGTCTCCGTGCTTGTCCCCCTTGTTCTCTCCAACTCGTGCCCTTACTTGTTCTCTCCAACTCTGCCCTTACTCTCTCTCTCTCTCTCTCTCTTGCTGTTCTTCTCTCTAGGTGCTTATTTGGACACATGATTCTCTCTGGTTCCTCACTTGTCCTCCCTTGTCCTCCCTTGTTCCCTCCAACGTGTATCCTTAATTCCCTCCTCATTGCTGCTGCTGCTTGGAGAAGAATGGATTTCCTGGCCTCTTGTGTTTCTCCTTAACTTTTCTTCCTTTGTTCAGGTCACATTCCCTTACCCTCGGTCTCTACCACATGTTACCCTACTTACCTTCCTACTTGTCTCCAACTTGTCTCCTTATTCTCTCTCCACTACCGCGCTTCTTTCCAGGTCTCCGGCATTTGGGAGGGAGAGGATAGTTTTTCTCCTCTTTCCTTTCTTTCCTTCCTTGTCCCTGTAGTCTTTCCCAGCGCTTTCTTCACTTCTCTCCTCATTCCTGTTGTTCTCGCTTTTGGGACCCAAGATTCCCCTTGTCTCCCATGTGTTCCCATCTGTGTCCTTATTCAGCCAATTTTTTCCTACTTGCTGTGTGGTCTAGGCTTTAGGACCTTCAGGTGGTTTTGGGGGCCATAAACATTACCGAGTCCCTCATTCGTGTCCCTTCCGTCACCGCCTTCTTGCAGTCTCCTCTCTTCATTTCTTTTTGTCCCTCACTGTTACTGTTCTTCTTCCTGGGTGCTTCTGGGCACAGGATACTCTTCGTGGTGCTCGATGGCAAAGGATTCTTCTTGCCTCCCATTTGTTTCCATACTTGTCTCCTTGTCTGTTCCCAACTTGTCTCCTTACTTCTCTATCTCCATTGCGATTCTTCTCTCTGGGTGCTTTCGGTCAAAGGAATCTCCTTGTCTCCCGTTCCTCACTTCTCTCTCCGTTGCTCAGTGTTCTTCGTTCTGGTGGCTTTGGGGACAGGACTCAAGTCCCATCTGTTTTCGTACTCGTCTCTCTACTTCACTCTCACATGTGGCTGTTCTCTCTGGGTGCTTCCGGGGCACAGTATGCTCCTTGTCCTCTGTCTGTCTCCGTGCTTGTCCCCCTTGTTCTCTCCAACTCGTGCCCTTACTTCTCTCTCTCTCTCTTTCTCTCTCTCTCTCTCTCTTGCTGTTCTTCTCTCTAGGTGCTTATTTGGACACATGATTCTCTCTGGTTCCTCACTTGTCCTCCCTTGTCCTCCCTTGTCCTCCCTTGTTCCCTCCAACGTGTATCCTTAATTCCCTCCTCATTGCTGCTGCTGCTTGGGAAAGAACGGATTTCCTGGCCTCTTGTGTTTCTCCTTAACTTTTCTTCCTTTGTTCAGGTCACATTCCCTTACCCTCGGTCTCTACCACATGTTACCCTACTTACCTTCCTACGTGTCTCCAACTTGTCTCCGTATTCTCTCTCCACTACCGTGCTTCTTTCCAGGTCTCCAGCATTTGGGAGGGAGAGGATAGTTTTTCTCCTCTTTCCTTTCTTTCCTTCCTTGTCCCTGTGGTCTTTCCCAGCGCTTTCTTCACTTCTTTCCTCATTCCTGTTGTTCTCGCTTTTGGGACCCAAGATTCCCCTTGTCTCCCATGTGTTCCCATCTGTGTCCTTCTTCAGCCAATTTTTTCCTACTTGCTGTTTTGTCTAGGCTTTAGGACCTCTTCATTTCTTTTTGTCCCTCCCTGTTACTGTTCTTCTTCCTGGGTGCTTCTGGGCACAGGATACTCTTCGTGGTGCTCGATGGCAAAGGATTCTTCTTGCCTCCCATTTGTTTCCATACTTGTCTCCTTGTCTGTTCCCAACTTGTCTCCTTACTTCTCTATCTCCATTGCGATTCTTCTCTCTGGGTGCTTTCGGTCAAAGGAATCTCCTTGTCTCCCGTTCCTCACTTCTCTCTCCATTGCTCAGTGTTCTTCGTTCTGGTGGCTTTGGGGACAGGACTCAAGTCCCATCTGTTTTCGTACTCGTCTCTCTACTTCACTCTCATATGTGGCTGTTCTCTCTGGGTGCTTCCGGGGCACAGTATGCTCCTAGTCCTCTGTCTGTCTCCGTGCTTGTCCCCCTTGTTCTCTCCAACTCATGCCCTTACTTCTCTCTCTCTCTTGCTGTTCTTCTCTCTAGGTGCTTATTTGGACACATGATTCTCTCCGGTTCCTCACTTGCCCTTTCTTGTTCCCTCCAACGTGTATCCTTAATTCCCTCCTCATTGCTGCTGCTGCTGCTTGGAGAAGAATGGATTTCCTGGCCTCTTGTGTTTCTCCTTAACTTTTCTTCCTTTGTTCAGGTCA